ACTTTTCACACCAGATTGTGAGACAGGAGAACACGTTCTCCATGGATAGACAGGAGAGGCAATGTTTTAAGTATAAAAGGATGTGCAAAAGTGTGAACATGCTTTGATTTTGTTGTTAGAGATCAGAGTTGAAAATACAGAGAAGTGAACAGAAACACAGAGTTCCTGTATCTCAAGGAACTTGCTGTCTCTCCAGCAATGTCCATTACACAGCTTTGGAAGTGGCTTTTTGTGGCGGTATATTTTCTCCATTTCATAAGGCCGATTTTCTCTCTTTTTCTGTTCTCATTAGATTCATCTATATTTGTTCGCAATGATGTCACTATTTAGCAATTGTACTGGCATGATATGGCAGAATTCCCTTTTTCCCTTAGGACTGAATTTTTCAAGCCTTCTGTGTGTCATTTGTTTGCTTTGCAGTTCAGAAGCAGTGGAAACATGTTGCCTCTCACTTAAAACTGAAGCAGCAGTCTTAAGAAAATGCTCTTTTCAGTGGTGATAAGTCAAAATCCACATTGCTCACTGCAGACTTACAAAGAATGTTGTTTCTATCTGGGCCAGTATTTGCTTGAATATTTTTGAGATTGCTCTGGAAACAGTATAATGGCCTTTTCATGGTGTGTTTTTTGGCAACATTTGAAAGAGTCTCTTGCAGAAAAAAACCGCTCACTGTAAGTGTAAGTTATACAGGTACATGTTTACCTCCCTAGACATTCTTGTGATCTGATCTGGTTCAAATGGAAGCAGTGTCACTTGACATTCCAGGGTAGCTGCATCTCTGCAGTTTTACACAAGTGCTGTTCTCTTTGTGCTCAGGAAATGGATGCTTCATCTCCAGGTTTATATTAACATCTTTTGCTTTTAATAATGTAGCAACATTTGGGGAGTTTAGAAAATCCCATGTACGCATGATGAGGGCAGGAGGGAAGAGAGAACCTAAATTCCTCTGCTAAATCACTTGGAAATCACATGCTAAACACTAATCCTTTCCCTTTAAGCATGTGGAAGTTGTCTGGGTGGTGTTTAAAACACTTTATTTCAGATTATAGAGTCATACTTCTCTTTGATGTGTGCCAACAACAGTAAATAGATACCATCCTATATAACAGTATTTTTAAAATCTTATGTTTCATATAGGACACTTTTGAATTCATCGTTTTTCAGATACACTTACTAAATCTACTATTGCAGAAGAAAGGGAGTGAAGTAGTATCATTTAGAGAGGCCTGTGGAGAAATGGCTTATTTTAGGGTTTTTGACAGGAGAAATGGCTTATTTTAGGGTTTTTGACAGGACTCTTTAAGAACACAATCCCAGGGTAAATACCATGATCCAGACAGTTTTGTTGATTTGAGAGATGCACAGAAAACCTCTTAAGGAAATATTTTTCAGGACCATTTTTTTATTTTTGTTTTCTTTCCTTGAATTGGCATGAGCTTGCTTCTACTTTAATGATGAGGAAAGGCAGTGCAAGGACATGTTGTGTATAAATCATTTCCTAAAAGATTGGCAGGTGGATATGAGGATTTCCTTGTAAAAGGTCCTTCTATTCTTTTACTGCTGTACATCTTGACTTTCTTTATATTTTTGTTTCCTTCTAATATTATCTCTCTGAAGATTTTTTGAGCTGATAGTGTTGCAATAAATTAATGTGTAGCACGGTCAAGTTATGTACCTGTAATTCAGTCATATTTTCTTCTTTTTTTTTTTTTCTAAAGTGTATTATAAAAAAAGAAATTGTTACCAAAGCTCTGGGTATATCTGTTTGTAATGTGTGCATATGCAGTAGTGCTGTAAACTTTGGGTATCAAACCTTTGAGAGAAGTACAGTCACTGTTTAGTGCCACCGTCTCAGAGGAGAGACTCCCCAGAACATTGTTTCAGCTGGAGTCAAGTCATGGGCACTTCTTCTACAAGGGATAGCTTATGTAAGTACAATTAAATACCTGAAATACTGAGACCTGCACTTCCTCAGCCTGATTCTGTAGACAGCTAATGTTACCAAGGCATCAAATCACATCTTTCTGATGAGCTGAGGCAGAGCTGACTGACTCATCTCCTAGACAAGTGTCTACAGGTTCAGCCTAATAGCATGAGGCATGTGCAGAATATCTGCCAGCCTCTAGTGCAAAGCACCATTAGGACATGATGCAACAAATATTACAAAGATCCCTGAAAATATTTATAGGAGATACCTTCTATGGTTCAGGAGCTGAATGTGGCAGGCAGTGGTTTCATTGCAAACAGGGTTTTGTTATTTTCTTTCTATAAGAACAGGTGTTTTATATATGTAAACATATGTATGTATTTAAATAACAGTCTAAACATGCTATTGATGAGGACAGTCTGAATCTCCATCTTGGTCCTATTCTTTTTTCCCTTCCACTGCCCCTGCCACCAACCAAAACACAAATTAAAATAACTTTAGACTTGAGACTCATGAACCGTTGCCTTCAAAGGCTGTGTATCCCCTAAAACACAAGAAAGCAAGAGCAGTGAAATGTTCATTCAAACAGAAACTCAACTTGACAGCCATCTCTGAAAGCTTCTTTCATGCTGAGTGAGTCCTCCCAGATCTCTGCAGAGGATGTGTTTCTCAGGGTGCCTGAAAGGTCACCAGGTTTCAGTGATGTAGGAGCAGGAGGAGAGGACATTGCAGAAACTTTCACCTTGTGAAGACCCAGTAGCACCTGCATTTAGTGGGTGTGTGCAGTCTGCAAGGTCTTAAAGAGATCAGCATATGTGTGGATAAATTGGAGAGAGACAATGGGGAGAAATAATCCCTGGCTGATGCTGTTTCAAAGTATTTTGAAATGATAACTATAAAATAGCTGCTGAGAAATAGGAGTTAACAGGTTTCAACAACCAATTCACACCTTTATTTAAAGAAAGCAGAAGATAAAAGACCTATCCCAGGAAGCTGCAGAGAAAAAAAAAAACCTGCTGAATTTAGTGTATTTTAAATTTGGACCACCACTATTTCAAGCACTTGTTCTTGGAGAAATCCCAAAAAATAACTTTAGTTATTTCATTAGCTAATCACTCATTTTCCAGCATCTGGTTTCTGTCTTAGCCAAAATATAGCCAACAGATCTCTGAAAACATACTTGCCTGAAGACTTCTGTTTTCTGTGTTGCTGGTGGAGTTTTGGTAGTGCAGGTTGTTTGTGAATAGATAGCTAAAGATCCTACTTATTAATTGCATCTAAGAAACTGTCTTGTGCAAGGGATGAAAAAGCCTATTGTTAAGGTGTAGTATGACTGTCATCATATCTGATAAACGCTCTATTGTTTTTTTATTTTAGGGTTATTGTCTTTAAAAAATCTCAAAACAATAAAATTAATACCCTCCCCCCCCAAAAAAAAACCAAAAAACCAACAAATAACAACCAAGCAAAAAGCTCACAAAACCCACAGTCAACCCTGAAACTTTTCTAACCCCATTTCAGCATGATCCCAGTGCTGTAACCATTTAGGGTGGTTTATAAAGAGAATCAGAAAAAAATTTGGAGCCATTGTTACAGGAGCTAAATAAGCAGTAGGCACTTGAGCCAAGACAACTTTAGCACCACAAAAGCACTGATTTTTCTAATTTTTTTTGTCTGAATTTAATGCAATGTTTTATTCTCTCTTTGCCCTAATGAAAATTTGATGTGCATTCTTTCATAAATGGCATCTGATGTGGTATCTCTCTTCAGCTCTTTGTGGTTTCCTGTTTTTCATATACAGATGAAAGTATCTGCTGCGATCTATTAAACTTCCCATTTTGTCATTTATGACTTTCTCAATACAAGCCTGAATGTAACAAGTGAATTTCTTTGCACTTAGAAATGTAGTGAATATCTTATGCAACAGAAATACAGGAGTATATCTTTAGTATTGTACTTCAGATTATTGCTTGTTTGAATTTAGGATAACTGTGTAGTATTTGTTACACAGGACCAACTTAATACATTTGTTCCCCCCCGCCCCATGTAAGTTATTTGCATTTGTGCATGAGAAAATAGTTAGAAGAACTAAAGCAATTTGAACTAATAAAATTTACAGGAAATATTACTGAGTTTGTGAGGCCTGTGTTTTTTGTTGATTTAGCGGTTATTAACAAAATATTACTATGAATGTGTGAGATCTTGTCCTAAATAATTATGCATTTGGTATATTTTGGTTAATTAAATTTTTTAAAAAAATATCATATAATCTGATCTCAGTGTGTGGGAGAACATTTTTAAGAGGTGTTATGGCTTAGGAAAATTTGGATTCAACCCCAGTGACACAAGAATTATTTCTGTTACTGAGAGTGATAAGATGAAGCACATTCAAGTGATCAACCTCATCCCAGTTTCCAAATACAAGTACTTGGCTGGTGAAATAACTAACCTGCATTATCTTCAACTGTGGAAATAGAAACTGAATCTGACAGAACATGGCTTTGTGTGTTAGAAAGAATAATTCTAATTTCCTGTCTATTAAAGTTAATGTTGCTGTCATGGCTTATGACAGGGCTTGGACCATTCTTGGTGGTACCTGGTTGATTGCTGTCATGTTACTTGACCACTGTTCATGAGCTTTAACTATAGCAAAAATCACATAATTGTAGATATTAAATTGATGCTTATCGTACTGGGAAGGGAGATTTTGAGGAAAGGAGTTTTTAACAAGCATAGAGCTGGTCCTTTACATTGTCTCTGAAAGGATGTGAGATTGTTTGCAGCACCTGCTTGGTAGGGTACTTTGGTTTCTGCAGTGTTGTTTTTGTTGTACTCTTAAGGAAGCTTGAATATTTATCTTTGTGAAAGAAATGGCACTTCAGCTGTGTTTAAAGGAAGGTAAGACATTCTTGTATTTGCTTAGGCTGCTTTCAGAAAACTTAATTTGTAGGGTTTTACTTTCCTCTGTAGAGAAACCAAATTAATGTTGCTGAAAAAATTCAGTTTTGATGTCTGAATGAGGTATCATATCTTAAATATTTCACTGAATTTATTCTTTCTGCCTGTTTAACAGAACTATAGTGCCATGGAAAGTGTTCAGGCAGTGCCTTCATGAAGTTCATCAGATTAGCTCTGGTTTGGAAGCAATGGCTCTTAAATCTACTATTGACTTGACCTGCAATGACTACATTTCAATTTTTGAATTTGATATCTTCACTAGATTATTTCAGGTAAGATTTGAAAATTTTAGATACTTATGTGAATTTTAGAAGCTTAGTGCTCTGAGGCAAGGAAGCAGATTTCTTTAAGAAAATGGAAGAACTAAAACATTATAATTTAGAAATAGAGTGCATTTCTTTTAGTCCATCAGTGGTGGTTGAGGCAGCAGCACACACATCTGAAAAACTGAAAGTGTACAGCAACACCTGCTTCATTTCTGCATGTATCTAATTTTACTACAATAGCTTTGTGTTTGCTGCTTATTTTTCACTATTTTTAAATATATTCCTAGAAATGTAGACATCCTTATAATCAGAGTTTTAGTTGGGTTTTTTTTGTTGTGCATTTGTAATCTACACATATGAGGTGTTTTACAAAAACATAAAGACCGTTACATATTAATTTACTTTAGGCTAAATGTAGGCCTAACTCTTTTTTTCATGAACCTATTTTTGCCATTAATGCTTTATTGCTTATTCACAACAAGGAACTATATTTGGGAATAGCATTAATTGTACTATTGTCAAGATTTATAAAATTGACTATACCTATATGTTACGTGTCTATTTTAAACTTGTGTCTCTTCTACAGAACATACTTAAGGTATTTTAGTCAATATGGAAGACTGTACTTGCATCCATATTAGATGTACTGTTTCTGAATTTATCACTTTGGATATTTCTTTTAAAAATGTAAGAAACTGCTGAGATATACAACCATTTATTTGATAATTTATTTTCTTTACCATGTACAGTGGTAAACTAGTACAGAGCTACAAGTTGCACTAGGGAAGGCTTAGACTGGATATTAGAAAAAGTTTATCACTGAAAGAGTTTTCAAGTACTTAGGGACATGATTTAGTGGGAGTGCTGGGTTAACAGTTGGATTTGATGGTCTCAGACATCTTTTTGGAACCTATATGAATATATAAATATTATTATATATAATACTATACATACTGTTAATTATACTTACTTATAATAATGTGTTATATATTATTATATATACTATTGTATATGTAATATGCATCATATTATCATCATAACCTACATGAGTATATCATTATGAAGACTTGGCAGTACTGGGTTAACAGTTGGACTTGATGATCTCAGAAGTATTTTTCTAACCTATATATTCATATATGTCATTATTATTTGGCCTAATGGAGATACGTTCAAAATACCAATTTTGCATCAAACCCTGGGTTGATGTTTGTTCGGTTTTCCACATTGTCTTGTGCTAATTGTTGCTTAGATGTCCTAGTTTTGCTTTTGTGGGAAAGGGTGCCATCATGAAGCTGATAGTAAAATCTGGCAGGAGGGGATTAATGATATTAGTATGCAGAGTTTTGATTTTGAGTATCTCTTCTCCATTCTGAGTCAAAAGAGTGTCACAGTTGCAAATGTTAATGGTGTCAGTAATCTCTTTTTAATTGAACCACAAACATTGGCCACTTATTTTCTTTGTGAGGCCTGCTAGTTGGATTCATTACTGTGCCTTGTGCTAGAAGAGGGATCAGCAATATTCATACATGTAAAGAGAGATGACTGGTAAGGGTTAACTTTTAATTCAGCAAAGAAGCAGAGAGATATGTTTTGACAAACAGATTGGGTGCAAAAGCTGTGTAACTGTTGAACTGAACTTGCACTGAACTTGGTCTGAGAACTTCTCCCAGAAGGTTACATTTTACTTCTCTAGTTTTTAAACAGCTTCTGTAACTATGTGTGCATACACCCACGGAGAGAAAATCCCAGTTAAGTAATCAAAATACTGTTTTGCCGACTGTGGGTTATGTTACAGAAAAGCTGCATTTGTAATGCTACTTTTTCACAGAAGCAAGCAAGACTAGGCTTTATGGAGATCCTTTGAAAGTGAAGTTGCTCCCCCTGCCTCCCCACTGTATGTATACACAACTTTAAGTGCTGTGTTCCCTGACCAGAGAGAAGCTTAGCACAGCAGAGTATCTGGATGCTCTGCAGAAACTTCAATCTGTTACTGTTGACATGTCCTTTGGTGTGAAAATACTTCCATTGAAGAGAAAGGGTTAAAATCTTGTCCCATTTAGCACTTCTGCTCTGGTAAGACTCCGTGTACACATGGCAAGCTGTGGGTTCTTGCCTTTGAATGGTTTGGTAAACTTTAGGGTTTAGAGACCCTAAAGATCATCTTGTTCCAACCCCCCCTGCCATGGGTAGGGACACACTTCTACAAGACCAGAAGCTCCATCCAGCCTGAACACTTTCAGGGATGGGTCATCAAATGAATGCCCCATACCAAAATGTTATGGATCAGCTTCCCTGGGCAACCTGTTCCGATGCCTTCATTTCACTTAGACTGAAGAATTTCTTCCAAATATCCAGCCTAAACCTATAGACTTTCAGTTTGAAACCATTCCCCCTTGTCCTATCACTCCAAGTCCTTTTGAGGTTCTTCTCCAGCTCTCTTGTATACCCCTTTAGGTACTGGGATGCTGTGCCAGGTTTCCAGGTTTTCAGAGCCTTCACTTCTCCAGGCTGAATAATAACAGCTCTCTCAGCCTGTCTTTATAGGAGAGGTGTTCCGTCCACCTCATCAACTTGCTGTCCCTCCTCTGGATTTGCTCCAGCAGGTCTGTCCCTCCTGTGCTGGAGGCCCAAGAGCTGGATGTGGTTTTACACGTGGGGTCTCACAAGAGCTGAGGAGAGTGAGAATCCCCTCCCTTGCCCTGCTGGCCACGCTGCTTTGGGCGCAGTGCAGGACACATTTGGCTTTTTGGGCTGTAAGTGCACCTTGCTGGGTTGTGTTCAGCCTTTCATCCAGCAGCACACCCAACTCCTGCTCATCAGGGCTGCTCTCAGTCCATTCTTCACATGCAGTATTGAATCTAGGACTGGGATTTTTTTTTTTTCTTTCCTCCTGGCTTTTGGACATATTTAAACACTTCAGGTTTCTTACAGCCTCTGTGCTGAAACCTGTCTTCTTATTCCATGTGTCCAACTTGATGAGGCATTCATTTTAAAATAAATAGGTATTCATCTGTGTTTAGTTAGTGGCTAAGGTTTGCCTGGAAAATGTAACACTCTCAAGAACTGTTAGGATAAAATGCTCAAGCATATCACACAGGCATTTCATCTCTGCCCCTTAGAAGTTCTTTTAAAGGGAATTTTCAGGGCACATAAGAGCACAAGCCTCTTGTCTTGTGTCACTTAACTTCACCTGCCTTGATCTTCTGAGAAATAGGTTAATAATCTGCAAAACATTCAGAGGCAGTTTCTTGACTTCCCAAATGCTGGAAATGGACATTTATATATCTGAATGAATCCATTACGTAAAAAAAAATCCTTTATTTACAGTAATGGACTGTTCCATATTCTTTGAAGTGATAGCATATCAGGCATGTTTCACTGAATTTTCTGAAGCATTTGCTACTCAGGTTAGAAAATACTCAGGTGAAGTGTTGTCAATATTTGTTCTGATTTCTGGCTATAATACCATTATAGTGACTTGAAGAAATCAAGATGTAGAGAATAAAAAAAGGAATGATAGCTCAAATTAGGAGCTTTATTACAATTCATTTGTCAGTGTTACTTAACATTAACTATGAAAGTGCTTCAGGACCTCTCAGGCTTAATTGTGTTTTTATTAAACCATCATGGAGTCATACTTTCCAGGTTTTAACTAAATAAGATGCTTAATATTTTATGTAGGTATTAATAGAAGGTCTCTTAAATTCAGGGTCTTCAAAATCCTTATCCAAAAAGCTGTGCTTGGTGTTCTTGGAATAATTCTTTTGAAGGAACACTTGTAGCAAAATTGGGTAAAATTGTAGCAAAATATAGGACAGTCCTTTGAATCATTTAGACCTAAGTGTTTTTCAGCTGAAGCTGAAACACTGCAGGTGACTCTGACATGAAGAGTTTTATTAGAAATACAGAGCTACGTGGCTTTGTCTCTTTACTTGTTTGTCTTTTTGTTGTAGCCGTGGGGCTCAATCTTAAGGAATTGGAACTTCCTCGCTGTGACACATCCTGGATATATGGCATTCCTGACGTATGATGAAGTGAAAGCAAGGCTGCAGAAATACAGCACTAAACCTGGGAGGTGAGAGGTTTCGCTGCGGATTGCTTTCCAAATAAACTTGCTGTCTTGGAACCTACATAATTCTGCTAGGTTCATACTTCTATTTTGCATGTTTTTGCATTTTATTTAACACTTACTGAAGCACTGAAGTGAAGCAAAAAAATATCGTATTAGCACACTGAAGTCTAAAAATGTAAAAATAAACAGAGAGAAATTGAAAATAAATTGCTTTTCCTTTCTTCTTCTGAATCAGGTAAAACAAGCAATTCATTCTTGAAAAGCGTATTTTAAAATGTAATTTGATTTTCAAAATTTACATTGAATAAATGTACATTGAGTTTTTCCTCAAAGCAAAAATCTTCTTAACATCTTTCATGGCAACATTCAAGCTATATAATCTGTGATTTTGTGTTCCTTTTGTGTTTTATATGTTTCTTTTTCCTTTGCCTGTGTCATTCTGTATCATAAACTCTTCACCTTGTAAAACAGTCAGATTAAAGAGCATGACATGTAGTTTATAAACACTTCCTTATGTGGTGCTGTGCATAGTAAATCACTTAAAATCACTGAGCTTTTACCATTATGTCACTGTTCTTTTTCTTCACTCAGGGGAAAAAATAAAAACAAAAATGTATTTAATCCCATATTACATACAATTTCTTTTGCTAGCTGTGTCTTACAGTTATGAAGTTTTGTCCCTAATGTCTCCTTGCTGAAACATCTGCTGAAGCACACGTACACATAGTTAAAGTGCATTGTTTTGAGACTCATTAGTGAAGTCTACCAGTAGTTATACCCATGTTCTGTACTTGGTTTCTTCTGTTTCTTAGCAAATAGTATACTCTATGAGAAGTTTAGTCAAGTGCATATATACAGAAATCTTGTAGTTCTAATGGAGAACTGCTGATTTTTAGCTTGATATTTGTGGACACTACTGCAAAAATCAAATAACTAGTCTGATTAGGAGAGCATTTTATGTATTTAGTATTTTCTCTATTATTGAGTCTAATGCTGTGATAGAGAAATTACCCCATGTAGCTTTTATGTTCCTTGTAAATAGTTAATTTTAAGATAGCTTTCTATTGCATATCAGAAAATTACTTTTTGAGTTGCTTAAGTGAAATGCTAGAGTGTGAAAGAGGGGATATGAAGTGAAATTTCTTCTTTAATCTGACTAAAACTTCCTGCAAATTAAACGATTCTGTTCAGATGAATAGTTAGTACTTCAATGTAGTGTCGGCCCTACTGAAGGTTGTAAGAGCTCTGTCAAACTTCAGAGAGGCTTAGATTTCTTATATTAGTTTGAAATGAAATATAATATTGATGGGTAATTAAGAAAAGCTCCTCTGTAATATAAAATTGAGTTTGTGGTCTTTCGCTGTGAGATGCTTTTCTCGGTGAGGTTTTTGCATGTGAAATGGTGTCTGACATGAAAGGGAGTAGAGTTGTTAATAGGAAGCTCTATACATGCCCAATCCTGTTGCTTGTAAACTTTCTTTTCTTCTGATTGTGCTCTATGTCTACATTACATATATTCCCAGCTATCACCTGTAACACACAGAAGTATTTAAATCCAAGTCAAATGGTGTAGTTAATATTTCACTTTACTGAAGTAGAAATTATATTTCTTTTGTTCACCTCCACAGGCTCACACAAAGTTACCATTTTCTAGTAGAGCAGGTTTTATCATTCATCTTTCGTGTTTCTGTTGCATCTAAAGATGCTTTATATTTGTCCTTCCACTTGTTCAGGTTATTGGCCTGCACAAGCACAAAATGTGTCTGTTGTAGCTATGGAGGCTGGATAATATCATACACTCTTCTTGAAGAGGTTTATGGACATGTCTGAGTGAGACTGCTCATGGTGAATGTGCAGCTTTCACTCTGAGAACTAAAACATAAGCAGATGAAAAGCAGGGGCTAGGCAGCTACTCTTACTTTATTTCTGCCCATGAGAAAGTGACAGTGTAGAAGAGGCAGGTTTATTTAAGGTTATACAAAGAACATGGCAGAATTGTGAATCTGACCCAAATGTTCAGAGACCTAATTCAGTGTTTGAACCAGAGGCCATAATTGCTCTCTGGACTTCTTTTGCTGAACTCTGAATTATACTGACTTTTCATTCATCCTGTTTTCATCAAGCTACATTTTCCGACTGAGTTGCACTCGCCTGGGCCAGTGGGCCATCGGGTATGTGACTGGTGATGGGAACATACTGCAGACCATACCTCACAATAAGCCTCTGTTTCAAGCTTTGATCGACGGCAGCCGGGAAGGATTGTAAGTACAAATTCTTAACAGCCACCATGGCTATGAAATCCTGATTTCCTTGTTCCCTTAATGCTTATATGGGTAGTTAAAGAGGTTTAGAACAGAGAAACTGCATATGGTGGTTAGCATTATTTCAGAGTTTAAAGACCATTCGTTTAATTCATTTAAAAACAACTTGTTTCTAGCTAATTCCATTAACCAGAGGTACTGAAAGTTAACCAAAGTCATATCTCATAGCAAATAAATTCCATGAGAAAATAAAATGAGACAGTTGTTGCATTGATCCCTCCTTCCCCCCACAGCCCCCCAAGAGTCCCAAATGCACTTAGGCTTAATGAATAGTTGCTGCTTCCAGTTACTCATGTGTCTAACTGTGGACAATGATTTGAAAGCGATGTAATTGCTTTTTTATATATTGTGCAGCCAGAACATTTTCCACATTCTAATAGTTTACTGAAAAGATTTATAATTATTAGAGAATGTAAGTTTATAGGGAGAAGTAGTACATTTTTGCTAGGTTGGCTGAAGTAACAGACAAATATTTGGTGTCAGAATCTTTTCACTGGGATACATGTTTTGGTATACCCAATATAAATATATATAATGTGAAAGAAAGAGAAAAGGCAATTGATCAATCCTTAGAAACAAAAAGACTGATAAATCTTTTCAGTCTTGTAATTTTTCTCAGTCCTACACAATCTAGTATTTTTTTTCAGGTGTGTTGATTTCATACCTGTAATAAAAACACACTTATATTGGTAGTACTTCTCTCTGACAAAAACTGAGCAAACAAAAACTGAAGCTGAGAATATTTTATGCAGAGTGATGTTTTTGTACCTTATAACTTTTTCATTAGATCACATAAAAATACATGGCCTTTAAGAAGCTGTTCCCAAGTTACAGGTAACATAAACCTGAATATAGAACAACATAGGGTTGCTGTAATATCATTTAACCTATTGTTAATTTCCCACATGATTGAAATGCTCCCATTGGTTCTTGCCTAACATCCAGTCTGCATTAGAAATTCTCAGTGTAGATTCTTGTCATAATATACACAGATATGCACAGATATAATATTGTGACATATTACATATATATATCAAAATACAGATACACACAAATGTGTTGCCTTCTTTTCCTCAGCTTTAGTTGAAATAGTCTAAATAGAGTCCTGAGCATGATGCTCTCAGTGGGGAAATCACTAGGAAGTGTGTGCTCACTGTGAAACAAAGATCTGAAATAACTCTCTTTTGAGTTTCCCCTAGAAGGTTATCTGCTAATGAAAGCTCAGATGCATTCTGGTGGTAGCTATGCAAGTGATGCCAAAATCTGTCCTCTGCTTTTATAAATACGCTTGAGCATGTGTCAGAATGAATATGTAGCAATTTAGTTGCACTTAAAAGATAAAATAGATGGCTGAGGAAAGATGATTTATTTTAGTTAATGTCTACTGTCACTTATTCTGCCCCCTTGAAATTTTATAAGTCTGATTTAGCTAATAAAGCTAAAGAAATGTACATATTTATAACAGTCTTCTTGTGATGCAGCTATCTGTTCCCAGATGGACGAAGTTATAACCCTGATTTGACAGGATTATGTGAGCCCACACCACATGATCACATAAAAGTCACGCAGGTATGTTGGCAGAGTTTTGAGTTACTTTGTAATCTTCACTTCTCTTAGTATCTCACCTAGCAGTGTTAATAAACTTTTATTAAAATGTGAGTAATAGGTTCATAAGACTGAAAATATATTGTTGGTAGAAGGGCTTAGGTGAACAACAGGGTAATAATCCTTTAAACTGTAGAGTGGATGGTGATGCAGACAGCACATCTTGGAATGTTTTGTTTATTGTGAGCCTTTTCCCAGTGGGAAGTGTTTCATACAGCTATTAAAGTTTTTTTTATGATATTTATGTAACAAATTCATGTAGTTTGTTTTTTCCTTGCTAATAACAAAGGGGTATACAGAAACAAAATGAGGACCAAGTAATAGTTTTGAAGGCTGGATAGGAATGGTACAGTTGGTTGACGAGTCCAGGAGGAAAGGGTCATACATCACAGAAATATCAATTCCAGGATATCCAGTTCTCTCCTTTCTTCTTTGTCTATGGTGCAAATCGAAAGAGAGATCATGGAAAACAGCAGAAGTGATTAAATGTTTAGACAGAGACACTTTGCAGAGAATTGCAGAGAAAATTTGAATATGTAATTGTGTTTATCGTCTTATTAAGTGATGATGTGATTAATTGTGCAAATGTTTGATAGTCAAGTAGTAGGAAGTAGCCACCCCAAGAGAAATGCTTGATTAAAAATGGTGCTGAAATTAACATTAGAAGGCTAAGGGATACAGTGCAGAATATTTTTCATTTTTCCTGATGAAAACATCTGGAAGATTATGTGCAAAGAAAGACATCAGACTAAATACAAGCCATGCTGCTCCAGCTGGTCTTCTGTTTCTTCCAATCAGTCTGGCTGACCTGCTGAATCTTCTGTACTTCTGGGTACTCTATGTGCATTCCACCTCCAGAAGTATTTTAGAAAAGAAGTATTCTTTACTATCTCTGGTATTATCAGAAATACCTGTTTTGTAAGTAAAAGAATTCCTAAAAAGAATTACCTGAAGAAAACCTGAACACTTCCACTTCTCTGACTTCCATCTTTTCTCTCCTGTCTTAAGATAATAATGAAAGAGTAATGGAGATTTATCAGATATTTGTGTTGCTCAGAAAAATGCTCCAGCCCACATCTTCCCTTTTCCTCAAAGAAAGGAGAAGCAGCACATGGTCAATGGCTACCTCACTCTTCACAAGCCAATAATATTTTACTTTGAATCCACTGAATGAATCAAATTATTTCTGCACATGTAGTTATGAGGACATTATTAGCTAGCTCTGATGGTAATTCAACAGTCTCAATTATGGGAGTCTGCCTTAAATAATATGTAACTGAAGAGGTTTAAAGTTGTCACTAGACCTGCTTAAACTATAGAAAGATGGTATGAAAGTGGCTGCAGGGCTAGATTGCTGCAGATGGATTCTTTGCTAGAACTCCACCATAAGCATCTTTAGTAGACTGACTACAGCTGCAGGTGCAAGCTCTCACTTGTTTTCTCTTTTTCTTAGACTCATGTCGCCTCACTTTACATAGCAGTAGCTGATTATTTTCCCATGACCTGGATTGTACTTAAGGATTCCAAAATTTGTTTTTTCAAGGCTAAAAAAGCTTATTTCAATACAAATGCATTTAACTGTTAGTTCCACAACAATAACTAATTCTAGAAAACTGTTCTGGACTTGAGTTTTGTCTATTATTTATTCCATCTAATGTTGGTGTTCTACCTTCCTGTCAGTCTTGTAAGGATGCAAAGTACTGAGTAATCTGTGCATGACTGTTGCCAAGTTATCCTGCAGGGTGTTGCCATACTTCCTTTACAAGGATTGTGTACTTTAGCTTACAACATCCTTGCTGTAGGTAAAAAGCGCTCTTGCTTGTCAATCTTCAATCCAATAATCTTCTTATTTCAAAACTCACACCTAGAAATGAAAATCCCAGTTTTTGTTCCCATTCATCACTTATTTTTTTTTACTTAGAACCATATGGTTATTTTCCTTCTTTTAGCTGCAACCGAAGAAAAGCAGGGTGTGTGCCTTGCAGAGCAGTTACATATGACAATTCTGTATAAAATCAAATAGGCACAGATATTTTTAACACTTTTTGGCATGAATTGTAGTATATCACAGGTTGGAAGAAGCAAAAATGTAAGTAAAAAATTCAGTAACTTTAGTGTGGCTTTTAGATCAGTAGCAAGAGTTTCCTTAATTAATAAATAAAGCAGATTGGAAAACAGGGTATTTGGAGAAGTATATTCTTTGTGAACAATTCATTGGAAAGAAATAATTGCTTTACTTCTTTTTGTTACAGGAGCAATATGAATTGTACTGTGAAATGGGTTCCACTTTTCAGCTGTGTAAAATCTGTGCAGAGAATGACAAAGATGTGAAGATAGAGCCTTGTGGACACCTTATGTGCACTTCTTGTCTTACAGCATGGCAGGTACTGTCATAGTTCAGTTGGTGAGGAAGAGGATGGATTTCTCTGTTACGTTCCTGTTTACAATGTGGGCATATGTTTATTTTTCCAGGTGCAAGGATGTATATAGCTAAAATTATAAACTTCCTCATTTTTCAAAGCAGGAATCTGTGAAAAATAAAGCTCCAGGAGTCTTTGCAGTCTGGACCTGTAGTCTTGCCAAGGCCATTTGTTGACTGCTGCTGAGTGGAAGCTATTTCCTGAGTGCAGTGCCTACTCAGACAGTAGCTGGACATTTGGTGCCAATTCAGTCACACAGAGGTCACTTGATGATGTATTTAAATGGCACAAAGAGGACATGTAGCTGCTGGGAATGGATAACTGACTAGACAGCATTTTATAAGGAGAGGGGACATCTTTGGTGAGAGGAGGATTCACTCAGTAGTAGAGGTGTCATGTATTGATCTGTGGAAAATTAAGCTTTCAGGATGCCTGTGTTTCACATTAGTAACATGCAAAGCACTGGAACACCTAGCTGGCTTTAGATGGTTGTTGGACTAAGATTGAATGGATGGGAAACTCCCTTCTCTCAAAGTCATTTATGGAACATCCAAAAAAACCCAGAGACTTCCTGGTGACACAGGTTGTTGTGTTTTGTCCATCTTGTTCATGGGGTTCCAGTCTGTGGGAAAACGGAGAATGGGTACCTTTAATTCAGAGCAGCTGACCTAAAAAGTAGCATCTAAAGATGACCTAAAAAGTAGTGTCTGAAGTCCTCTTTACAGTTGTGCATCATCCCTGCCCCTTCTTTCATATCCATATTTTATGGGGAGAAGTAAGGTTCATCCAGTTCTCTTTGGTCCACATTTAATAATCAGTCTATTCTTATAAATGTAGTGAGAAGATTAAAAAGAATCCTTGAGTCTAGTCCATTTTGGACCTATTTTTGAATGAGTTCTCCTCCATCAGTGTGTTTTCACTCTTACATTAGTGGCATGTCTTCAAGTACTATAATTTTCCTTTTCTAATTAGGACATTTTCTACCTAATTAAGAAAGCCTCAGTGGCAAACCAACACGATATATCAGAAGTATCATTTGAGTTTTTCTTCCATTAGCAGTAAAGTTTTTTTGAAAAAGAAGTACTCTCAGTTTCCAATTTTGTGTTCTTTGTGAAATTTGAGTTTGATGTTCCAAACACAAATCTTTCAAATTGGCCATAGATCAGAAATTCTGAGGAAATTCCATTTGAGGCATACCCACGAAAATATGTTTATTTCACTACTAAGTAGCTGCTGGGCTGGAACAATATTTCTCATTTCAGGAGTACCCCTTCTCTATTCTTTCAAGTTTCGTTCTGAATGTCAGACATAGAGGTGTCTGACCACATAAATCATTGACTTAAAAAATTCTAAGGTCTGTAGCTTTTTAGTTTTGTTTGCCTGTTCATTTGTTTTTTGGCTCAGCTGACAGGGCTAAGCAGAAGGAGTGAAATCTTTGTACTTCTGATTGTTGGGTGACTTGTGGCGTGGTAGGAGCACGTTACAGTCTTGGGCCAGTGATGTGCTCTGATTCTGGAGACTTGAGAAGCTGAGATCCCCAGTACTTGTCTATGGGATAGGGATTCAGGAAGAGAATGACAAAGCATTTTAGGCTCAGAAAACTGACATGTTTGGATGCACCAGTTTTCATCAGAACACAGCTACCAGCTGTAATTGGTCAGGTACATTTCAGACTTCATTACAAATTTAACTTTTGTATAATTAGTGAGGCAATGAAGAAATATTATAGTGTAACAGCATCAGCTGTTGTGAGCTTCTGGTGGGTTGTTTAATTGGCAGCATAATGGCTCGTTAGCCATGCCTCAAGAGATCCAATACAGATGTTTTCACTAAGCAGAAAAAATTAGAGTAAGCAACATCAGATCTGCATAGAATACTAAGGATGATTGAGTTGTTCACCTTTATGGGGCTCAGTCTCTCAAATAAGACTTGGTTTACTTGTTTCCTTTTTGCATTATGCAACAGGAGTAAAATGACATTTTATACCACAGAAATCTGTTGTCTGAAAAGTACATGTTTTCTAAAAGCATATGTATAGGCTATATTGTAAGGCTTTGAATAACCTTTTTGAGGGCATGGGCAAGTGTCTGTGTTAATATAGACATCTCAGATATATATTCATACTATTGAATACAAGTCTGTTGATGTTTTTAGTTACTAAGACATTTTAAAGAAAGGATGGAAACTGCTAGTGCAGAACACAGGTACAAGAAAGCCTTGAAAACTAAAAGCTCTGTTGCCTCATTGATAATTTTGGGGGTTTTTTTAGAAAATGAAGCTGTAAGGAGTTGTATAGAGTGAGGGAGGACTTCTGCTCACTTGACCACAGCTACTTCAGTAGGACCATATAATCTAAAGATGTTTTTTGCATTAGTGAAGTTGACTAATTAGTTGTACTCACAGTGCTGAAAGTAGAGTAGATGTGTCTTTCCATACAAAATGAAAATCCAGTACTGATCCTGCAAGTGATGTCAGGAGTCATCATTTATGCTCATCTGGCCTTGTGATACAGCTTATCCAAAAACTGTAAAATCATCTGTCAGTTTAGTAAGACTGGCAAGTGTCAAGATAAAAATAAAGCTAGAAAGAAAGCTAAAGTTGTTTTTGCATCTGAGAAATCAAAAACTTGTGCTTGCTTGGTTATATTTCAGTATCAGTAGGATGTTTAGAATTAATTTTGGTGTCCATATCCTTTTAGCTGTCTGTCTACCTGACTGTAAATACAACACAACGGGATTTCTGATTTCTCTTTGAATTATCCTAAACTCTCAAAGCTTCATGGTTCTGGGTGTGGATTTGTTAGTGGTTTTATTTGTTTGGTGGTGGGCTTTTGGTTTTATTTTTAGTAATTGGTATCTGTTGTGCTTCTTGATAGAAATATTTCTATAAGTGCTTGAAAAGACTTCTCTGATTTTTGTTCATTAGTAGTCTGAATTTAAAGGCTTTTTGTTTATTTCTGATGAGAAAAAATACATTTCTGAAATAAGTAAAAGGAATAGAATATGGATGCTTGAAAATCAGTGAAAACATATGATTTAAAAATTAAAATTCAAGTAGTTCTCATTTCTGATAATATGTGAAAATAATTCATTGTCTTATATAATTTATTGAAAATGTAGTTCAGTCCTGATTTTTTATGTAAATGTGAAGAAAGCTGCTTGTAGCCTTAGGTGTTCTGAATGCTGGTAATGCTGTAGCTGTGATGGGCTGAATATGTTTTTACAAGAAGAGCTGCATGCCATAAAACTTGCTTCCATTTTCTAATGTCAAATGAAAAAGAAATATTTTCTGGTTAATATAAAAGGTATATAATAAAATGCATTATCTCTGTCTACACACCTCACCTTCTTTCTCTTCAAGAAATAGCAAAATTGTAAGCCTGAAAGGAATCATGTTGCTTCCTGACCTGTAATATTAAGACTGTTTTACTGCTTTGAAGAGATAATAGTTACATTTTGATTAGTTGTTTTAAAGGGAAGTTTAATCTATTAAAGAGAGACAGCTTTAAATGTGCAGTCATTTTAAGATTTACTGTAGTTAAATATTTGTTAATCCGTTTCCTGTTTATTCCAGTCCTTCTTTACAAGCTTTTAGAGACTGATTGAGGATGTTTCTGTGTGTAAGGTATAAGTCCTACTTGTAAATTATTGCTGGTTTTGTTTGTTTTTTTAAAATTTATCTACTTTTTTGTCTTGCTGTAGGAATCAGATGGCCAAGGCTGCCCTTTCTGCCGCTGTGAAATCAAAGGAACAGAACCAATCATTGTGGATCCCTTTGATCCCAGGGATGAGAACTCCAGGTGCTGCAGTATTATGGATAGCTTTAGTATGCCCATGTTGGACTTGGATGATGATGATGATAGAGAAGAGTCTCTAATGATGAATCGTTTGGCTTCAGTCCGAAAGGTAACTTTCCCAACACTGCACAACAGCTAAACCCAGACATTTATAAACAAAGCTGCCTGTAACTTTAAACAATGAGAGGTTGCACTTCATGCTTTAGCTCACAGCATCTCACTGAACAGCTGTTGGATTGGAAAAAACAAAATGTGTCAATACAAATGCATTAAAACTGAAGTTGAATTGGAGGAAAAGAATATTCCATATTCTCAGCTGAGGTGATGTGAACTGAGATAACTTAGTTTATAAAGAGTGAAGTATAAGTATGCACCAGCTGAAACTCTTACCCAAATTATGCTGTATGGACAATTCCCTGAGCTTTTATTTGTAAAGAAGAAAAAAATTCCTATATGCATTTGTTTTCTGCACGTGTGTACACATGCATAGCATGTTTTAGGATTAAAATTGAGTTTCTAAACAGTTTTCAATATTATTACTTCATAAAAGTGACTTGATGCCTAATTCATACTGCACACAAGTAACTACAAGTTATGTTTCATGTGAGTTATCTATAATTTTTTTTTCTGTAATTTTTAGAATTAGGTTCTCTAAGTGGGAAAAGCATTTTTGAGATTATCCATAGTGACTTTGTGTTTTGGGATGTGTTTTGCCATGCTTTTTGTCCTGAATGTGCTCTGTGTTAAATTCTGAGATCTTTGTTGCAGGAGATTTTATTACTGAGAAATAAGCACTGTCATTGACAAAAGTTAATTTTATGGTGATAGTTTTTTACTACTGTATTTTGCTCTGGAATAGATATTGTCAAAGGGCATGCAACACTGATTTTGACAGAGCATTTACTAGATTTTACCTTATACTAAGGTCATCTAGATTGAATTGTTGCCTTGGAATTAATTTTGTAACATCTTACTTTGCCATTTCCTTATCATTGCATTTGTTAGGAAAAAAAAAGCATTTTTCACCCTCATATCTGAGAGTATCTGTCAGTTAATATACATGCTGCTGATATCCTTCCTAACCTCTTAAGGCTTATGAATCATTCTTGTGTTGTGTACGTAATACAACATGCTCTACCCTTGGGAACAGTTTATCCTTCCTGCCTGGACTTAAATTGCAGTCTGCAGCACGACCTCTGTGAGATAGCCTTGAATTGATGGGCTTTTATAACGCTATCACTTCCATGATAAGGCAAAAATGCATTATGCCTCTATCAAAAGAAGGAACAGTAGGTTTACTATAAGAAGTCTTCTTTTAGGTATCCACCAAGTGCTTGAGTGCTTTGATGCCTTGCTATTTTTGTTTCATTGATTTCATTGTTTGGTGGAAGAAATCTTCACTCTGCCAGCCTCTTGAAATCTATTTGAAATTGTTGAATTATTGGGTCATTTGGTGATTTTTAGCCGCTTTTTTCTTAAACTTGTTAAACTTCTTACCATTGCTTGTGCAGTGATGGTGTTAACCATGTCACCTGTACGTAATATGGAATTGTTTCTTATTTTTATTTTTATAAATATTATTTTTGTTAGCTATGTCTTCATCAGACTTGCCTATTTCTTTAACCATTATTTGTTTTTCCTGCTAAGCAGTGTATCTTTGGAGCCTGCTAAAAGAAACTATATTTTTCTCTATAACATTATGTAGAACTTTATTCTGTGAAATTTTCTTTTTGTCATTAATGTTGTTCATTTGAACAGGGTGCTGCATAACGACTGTGTTGTAGTAATTTGTTGAAATGGTGGAAATTAGGTTGCAAAGACAGTAATTTAGCTCTTGCAGCCAACCTGCTGGTACTGCTGTAACTTTGTAATCTCAGTGAACAAATTTTTCAATTCTTATTTTATTGCATGGACTGTGGTAAGCTTTCTCAACATAAATCTATTAATCATTGAAAATCAAATGGGCTGTATTTGTGTTAAGTCACCTGGCTGGCCATTCTATGAAAAAAACTGGCTAGTAGTGAGCTGGGCTGTGAAACCCTTTAGAAGAGGAGAATTTCAGGGACATGAAGTTCTGATGAAAGTGACTGTAGGGCTTCACGATGTGTTGTGGAAATACTCAATTTGATACCAGAAAAATATCAGTTCTGCAGTTTATCACTCTAACGTGTGAGCTGTACTCAGAAACTCTTAAGAAGTGTCTGAATTAAGTCTCTGAAAGACTTGAAATTGCTTAAAGGAAAAGAATAATCATGAAGCTCCTTTGTCATTCTTTAAAGGAATTAGTAAGTGGATACGCACTAAGAAAAATGAATAATTCTTGCTAGGTGTTGTGTATGAGTCAGCAGTAGCAGCAGGTCAGCTCTAACAGAGGCTTTGGAGAAATCCACTGCAGTTAGGCTGTTTATCTGCTTCATCAATCAGCTTTTTATTTATTAGTATTATTATTTCCAAATTGTCTTAAGATATTTCTTAATGAACGAAAGAGTGGTGCCAAAACCCTTTGTTAATTGTTTCCTCACCAAGAAATTTCCAGCCCTGTGGTATCAGATTAGCTAATGCAGTTATTTTCCAAAATGTTCCTCTTCTCACCTTTTATTCTAGCAAAGCAAACATTATGAAATGCATTCTTAAAAAAAAATAAAAAATAAAAAAAATTACAGGCTCAGGTAAATATTGAAAATACTTTTTTTTTATTTATTTTTAAAGAGAGCATTTCAGTCTCTAGTAGAGCATTTTAGTTATTCTATAATGTTTAATATTTAATTTTCCTAATGAATGAAGAGTTCTCTGTCACTTTTCCTTGCTACAGGACATAATTTGATACACTTCTTTTAAAAAGAAAGAAAACAAGGAAAATGGATAGTGCAGGAGTTGCTAAGAGCAAATAATTTTGAATTCATAAGTGCTTAAGGTAATTGTTATCCAAATAATATCCTATGAAAACATAGACGGCTCTACCAGTATAGGAGTCTGAGGTTTTCAGTACCTTAAAGTGAATTAACACTGTCTATAAATACTTCTGTCTAAAAGTAGATGCAGTTACCCCATCTGGGGTGTTACTGTCATGTCTGAAATTATTTTCCTAGATATCTGAATGCACAATACCCTGATTGATTGGTTCACCCTGTGAAGACAGTTTGCCATGACTAGGCTTCTTCCAGCAGATGAGCTAGGTCAAATTTGATAAATCACAACAAAAGACCTTGGCTCTCAAAATATGGGAGAAGGCTATTTTCACTCATTTCCTTATTATTAAGTTGACTTTTTTCTGGTAATGGAGGAAGGTATATAATACATAGTAATAATGTTTTTAATTTCATTATATGAAATATAAAAATATGTAAAATAAGACTTGAAATACATATCCAGATATCCCCTTCAGCAGTACCTGAACTGACACATATGTATCACTTCCTACATAATGCTACACCTGGTTGGTGGGAATGTATTAAGATCATGTCACTCAACTGGAGTGACTTACTTAAGTGATTACTTACTAGTATTTGAAGGGTTTTAATGCTGGGAGGCAGTGTGCCTCCCCTAATTACTGATTCCCTTGGCAGTGTGCTGCTGACTCTTGCAGACCTAACTCCCTTTCCCTCCTTCACATGCATTTTCTTGGGTCAGCAATGATAAAGGGAATAAATCTGTCTTTTAAAAGCATGTTTAAAGTCATCAGTGTTAAGTGATGTAAATTTATATCCTCGTGTAAGTTTTTAAGCCTAGATAATACAGCTCTGCCTAGGTCACAGCTTATCTTAACAAGAAATAACAAATACGTGAGTTACTCGTACCTGATTATAAATAAAGTAACTTCAGGAAATTACTTCTGGTGTAGGTCTTCTTGGACCTTCTTAGATGTCTCATGCAGTTTGAGGTTGCTCCAAGGACGTTAACAGGCAAAATAGTATTCCTCAGTGAGTCAATTGTTAGGATTTATGTTGAGTATGCTTTTCATATGTGCCTATTTGGCATAAAACTATTTAAAAACTCTTGATTCAATAGCCTGGTGGTTAATATTTCCATCAGAAAAAACCTTGACTAGAAATTGGAATCAGGGTTGGAAACAGGCTTTTTCTTGAATTCACAACTGCTAGGAGCAAACTGATACCAGTATATCCCAGTAACAGATGCATCTGATGGAATAACACGAGTATGGTCCCTTCTGCAGTACAACTGCAAAGTCGCAGCTGCTTTTCCTTTGGCAGCAGTCACACCAACCAGATGAAGTCCATGTTGTTACAAAGGAGTCTGTGTTCTTCTCCTTAATTACATCTTTATTGCACAGGTCTCTGTGTGGTGCAGCAGAGCCCCTTTGTATGCTGAAGGTCTGTCTTCTGTCACTGCCAGTTCATTTGAGTTAGTTTGTGTCTTAATCACTTGATTGTTTTAGCTTTTTGTCAGTGTTCTCTCTCATTGCACATTTTTTCCCAGTGTATAGAAAATACACAGAAATCTCCAGTAGGTGACAAACAGAAATTTTAGGAGAGTTTGCCACAAAGAGTAGATATTAGTACGTCTATTAATGCCTTGGTATCCACATGAGATGCAGCCGTCTTCTTGGCCTAGCTGTCAACACACATCAAATGATGCAGCTAGACAGGTTAGATGGAGGTGGACTGAAAAATATGGGATTTTCATAATGGGAATATGATGGAAATCTGATACTGAATGCTGAGGAGAACCTGTTTGTTGCTGTGGAATATTTGGATTTGTTTTATTTCTAGTATTGGTGGATCCAAAGAAGGAATTATTAGTTTGTCCCAGCAAAGCTTTTGCTCTTACTTCAGCACCAAGTGATGATACGGATTAAGCTTCCTTGTAGGGGGAGAAAAGCTACATTTGCTTGCAGCTATTTAACTTTCTCCTTTTTTTTTTTTTTTTTTTTTTTTTTAATTCTATTTTTTATTGTGCCTGATACATTACTCTTTAACTTCTTGGTCGTAATCAATTCCCTTTTTGAAATCTCAGGAGTCACAGTATGTTCTGTTAGCATTGTGGCTGTAGTATAGCATAGTAGTCCAGGGGACCAAAAAATCACTATTTTCAAACAAGACATAACAAGGCATGGATGTAAGCCGAAATTCAAGTCTTCTCACACACTTACTGCTTCAAAAATTTTCCATTTAGTTTTGTTAGTTGTGGTTTACTATCCACGGAATGTGATATAGGTAGCCAAATACTAAGAATAGATGGAAATAGAAGTTTATCACATAAATAAAATAGCTTGCTTCATTTGGTTTAAAAGCATGTCAGGATTTAAGAATCTTGAACTTCTATATTAATGGGTTTTAAATGTGAATATTCTATGGTTTTTGTCTCTGCAAAAGCTAGACTGTTGTTGCAGCAGGAGAAAAGAAGTCTGACATGGATGGAACCAGCAAGCACACTGAGGGACGAGGGCATCATTTTGTCTAATGATTCTTTAGAGCAGAACCATGTAAGAGAAGTTTGCCAGATAGAAGGAGGGGTGGATGTTCTTAGGATGATATCACTACAGTGCTGTTCACTTAGCTGGGATTTTTACAACTCCATGCAGTCTCCTATTTGAGACTCTTGGGTTGCTCTTTCAATAAATTGCATTAATTAGTTTGATGATGTGACAGTTAGAACATTCTAAATTCCAAACAATTTCCTGTCCAATAATTGGTTTTCAGTATTTCCTATCTCTCTTACTCTTTGTTTTCTACTCCTATCCCATATATGATTGTTCTTCTGGAACAATTCCCCGCTGACTGAAATGCATTATGTTGTGCAACACCGAAAAATGCTGTGACTTAACTACATCAATTTCATTTATTTTAAATAATTGAATCTTCTTGGAGGTGTGACCTGCCTTATTTATCTATTTCAGATAATTTAGGAAATAAATTCATTTTGTGTCTGCTGAAGTCAATCCTTTGAGTATATTGTATTGCATGGTTCTTGGCTTTCAGGAATGCTTAATGGAGGTGTAACTATACTTCGAAAACTAATGCTATTAAATGATATAATGTTTATTGTGCTGTTTAATTGACAGATGCCTTCTGATAAGGAAAATGAATTGACATTTGGTTTATAATTATGATCATTTCAGTTGCTCAGGCATGCTCGCATGATAGTTATCTTACTTAGTTATTCAACTTCCCTTAATGTTGAGCAGCTAAATGCTTCAGTAATTCATGTGCTTATCTTTATGGTCTCCCAGTCAAGGACAGGGTCATTCACCAATTAAAGGAAACAAAATTTAAAGACTTTATTCAAGACATTTAATATGAGTATTAAGACCACCTCTTCAATGAAGAGAGAAACTTCTGGTAGCCATGAAGACCACAAATCTTAAACTGCTCTGTCTCCTGAATTTGAATGTTTAGTTGTGACATTGAGCTTGCACATGTAGACAAGATGGGGAAGACTCTAAATAGTAGCAAAACAATCATCCTGATGATGGAGTTGCACATTACCCTTCTAGCTTTCAACATCTTCTCACCCCTCTCCTGCATTTTCATGCACTGTTGACAGCAATACTTTGGTGGCTCCTATTTTTGAAGGAAATATGGTAGCAATCCATTGTATGGAATGGGAGATTAAACTAAGCTGTAGTACAGAGCATTGATAAGGAGTCACTGCTGTAGATACTTTTCCTCAAACTGCTTTTGAATTGATAAAGTTTCCAGTTTCTTTAATACAATGATTGTGTATACAGGAAGGTAGTGTTGCTTACTTGTTTACCATGCTGAAGAACTTTCTACTCTCATTCCAGTTACACTATGGGATGTTCAGCTTATGAAGAGAGGGGGGAGTCTTTATCAAAGGGGTTTAGCCTAAAGATGGGTGCATTTTTGCCTCTTTAGGCAAGCTGTGATATGAGAACAGTGGGATGCCTCAATGCACAAGTGGCCTAAGGCTGATCCGTCGTGGGAATGTCTTCCAGCTACTTGTGTCTACTCTCAGGGAAAGCACAGGACAGCACAGATGTTCAGGTTTATTACAGGGCACTGAAACTCATTCTGTGAGTTCATAGAAATGACTTGTACTGATCTGTGCAAACACCTGAGCTGTGTTTGTTAAAAGTGAGCCAGATGAAGGGTTGGGACTAGTTGTAAAATTGGGTGGAGACCTATATTAAGAGTTGAAATCTTTGTTCTGATGAATTTGAAAGGATAGGTCCAGGTAAAAAGAAATCATAATTTGTCACTGGAAGGGGATGTTAAATGTTTGTGTTATTAGTTCAATATTTGTTTAAATTATAAAATTATTCTAAAATTATTGTAACAGCTCCATTTTTTGCTAATTTTGCTTCTTTCCTGAATATCTTGCTGGTGATTTTGATTGGTGAATTTTCAGAAGACATGCATTCTATTTCATATGGAAGTATGATTTGAAATTGGGCAGTAAGCAATAACAGGCAATATCATGGATATCCAGTTTTTAAAAGTAATTTGTAGAACTTTAGATTGACTACTCTCTATTAATAAAAAGGTTATCAAGGGTAGTAGTGCTATGGTAGAATGGGGTTATGGGGTTTTTTTCCTCATGTTTGGCCACTGTCGTTAAGATTTTATACAAACTGCTGGAACATATATTCTTTTATTTTCATCACAAATTAACACAGGTCTTAATTTTGAGGTAAAATGACTTGTAGAGTTGTTCTTCAGTAACTACAAGTTGAGCTGTACTGTCCAGATGTCCATTATGAAAAATGACTATTATAATTGACTCTTAGTAAGTATCTGCTAAGCATCAAGTGTTTTAGTTGTGGAATGGAAGTTGTATACTTGATCATCAGGTAAAAGGCAATTTTATTTTCTCTATCCTGAAGTGCAATGAGAGGCAGAATTCACCAGTGACTTCCCCAGGATCTTCCCCTCTTGCACAAAGAAGAAAACCACTTCCAGACCCCCTGCAAATCCCACATCTTAGTCTTCCACCTGTACCTCCCCGTCTGGATCTGATTCAGAAGGGAGTAGCACGGTCACCGTGTGCCAGCCCAACCGGGTCACCAAAGGTAAGTGGTACTGAACCATTATTTCTGGATATAATTCTGAGAAATTGTATTTACTTTTTTCCAAGGTGAGCTTCTTGTTTGTTTTGTATAGTGGACTGTTACAAACATTTCCATGGATTTTGCTTTTTCATGATTTTGCTCTGCTCAAAAGAATTTGAATTCCTTCTAGTTTAAAGAAACTTAAGATTAGTTCCATATTGATGAAGTCTCTTCTCTTCCCATAGTACCTTATATAGTTAAATGTTTTTGGCTGCATGTGTTGGTCAAATATGACTTCAGTTTGTCTGATGATTATCTTATACTTGGTTATGGTCAGAATTTTAAAGACGTTGCAGTAATGGATCAGTTCTCTAACAAACTCTGATTATTGAAAATAAATAGAAGCTAAAGTTTCCTGAAAATAGATTTAAAGGTCATTATCTCATTAAAATTATATGTTTTCCTTTTATGATGATTTATGTTCAATTTGCACAGTGTCCTTACAAGAAAAATATGTGCAGATACACTGCTTTCAAAACCTTAAATGGCATATAATAGGACTCAAATTTCAAGGGAAATAATAATGACTCTATAGCAAATAAGATTATATGTTATGTTCTGTAAAACTAGTGATACTAAAGATTCAATGATTTTTTGAGTGAATAAGCATGAAAGAGAACAAATATTGTTTGTTGCTCTCTATAACAAGTTGATTGTTTTATTGTAATTGTTGTATAGAGGGAGTTAGATTAAAATTTTTCATTTTTATATGATTAATTCAAATTCACGACATGACTTGAAACCTGTGTACTCATAATAATCCAGTTTGAAGTACCTTGTTTCTTTTTTCAGGTTTTTACTTTAAGGTTGAAAAGCAGTATATTTTTAAGATTTTAGTGGTTCATAATTTAGAAGGAAAAATAGAAGTCTGAATAGTTTATTGAATTTTCTTTCTTAACTTCTTATATTATACAAAGGAATTTATAACACATTGAAGATATACACAAAGCATATGCCACATCCATTAAGAATTAGTTTTACAATAGGGGTTTTTGCAGAGTTCATAGCTTTAAAAGAAAAGCAAACCAAGAATAACATTAATGCTGCTTTAATTTTTTGAAAATACTTTTTTTTCATGAAACTTTTCCTGTAAAAATATAAATTTGTGTGGTGCAAGGGAAGCAGAACGGGGGCAACCAAGAATAGTCTCATACATTAAACAAAATTATATTTGAGAGAAAAAAAAATACTATTTAGTCCTGCTAAAACTACTCCTTCAGGAAAAAATCACACAACTTTTCTGTTTTACTCAAATTAAAAACTGTAATTTATAAGTATAAGGTATAACAAAAAATCTGGATCAGGGTATTATTTTCCTGTGTTGACAGTGGAAATAACTATTTTACTTGACTAGTAAGTGAGTTAAACACTTCTTTATTTAGTTTATTTCCTTTTAAAATGCATGGGTCTGTAGGTAGAATATTTTCTGTTCAAGTGACGTGTTTAGGTACTGCTTGAAGAGTAGTGCTGAGCTAGCCAGTGAAGTGAGAGCAAATGCTGTTCTTACTTTAAAAAGTTCAGTGACCTCCATTTCTTTAAGTGATAATAAAATGCAGGCTTACCGAAGTCCAAGAAAATTATACATTCCCAGGGAAATAATCTTCCCTGTATTCCTTATGGTAGCTGGAGATAAAATATTTGTAAAGACCTGGCCCAGGTGTTACTTTGTAAATTGCCATTATTAATTCAGTCATAATGAAAATGTTTTAGTTTTGTCAGATTTGTGCTCAGATTTGTGCAGCTGTGAGGTTTTTTTCCTGATAATGTGGGTTTCAGCTTTTTAGTATTAGCATACATAATTTTAGACCACATTCAACCATTTATGATGTAATTCAGTTCTTAGAAAGCAGGTATTCTGACAAATGTTGCTTGCAGATAAGCTAATTGCAAGTAAAACTACAAACCAATTAGGTTGCTACCTGAAAAACTGAATGCAGTTCAAACAGATTTGGTACTCTAACACAGTGCATGTCATGTAAAGATTGGAGTCATCCCTCGGTATATAATTAAAAGTGAAATTATTGTTTCTTCTTCCCCTTGCTCTCTAATCATTGTTTTATGTGCTCACTTGCTATCAGTGAGTTACTCCTCTGAGATTCTATTTTATTTGGGATTTTGGGTTTTCAACACACTTTTCCATATAAGGAAGCCTGTTTTTTCCAAACACTCCACAGAATTCATTTCCGCAGATGAGTAAGCAGTTCAAATGATCAAAGCAAAGGATACTGGAAAGAACTATGGGTCAAATAAATCTGTCTGAGTTAATTGTCTTTTCTGCTTCCCACTCCTCGTTTGGGTTACTCGTGCGACATCAGAAATGGGGGCATGTTTTCTGAAGAAGGGCCTGGTTGTCTGCGGAATGCCGGCAAGGCCTGCATTCAACCTCCTGACAAGAAAATGTCTCAGTCAGAAATGATAAAGCCATACTTGGTCATGAGTAGCATTTATGCCTCCGTGTAACCTTTCTTTTTCTTTTCTCGTAACTTCCTGTGTTGTTTAGTCTTCTCCCTGCATGGTGAGGAAACAGGACAAACCTCTGCCAGCGCCGCCACCTCCCTTGCGAGACCCTCCGCCGCCGCCGCCGGAGCGGCCTCCCCCCATCCTGCCGGACAGCAGGGCCGGCCGGCACCTGCCCCAGCCCGAGAGCCTGCCTGCCAGGGACCAGCCCCTGCCCCTCGAGGCCTGGTGTCCCAGGGACGTGTTCGGGACAGGACAGCTGGTGGGCTGCCGCGGCGCGGGCGACGCTTCCCCCAAAGCAGGACTGACCGCCGTTTCAAACGTCAACGGGAGGCACGGCCGCGTGAGTTCTGAGCTGGGCTTTGTGAGGAAGCACAGGCGACACGAGCTGCCTGCAGAAGGTGCCAAGGTATTTCTGATGAACTGGGTGTCGAACCATAAATTCACACCTACTGCGGCATTGTCTGGCGCTGGCTAATGCGCTGTTTATATCGGCCAGTGTTGATTTGCGGTTTCCGAAGCTTTTCTGTTGATACTTAATAATAAGCTGCTCTTAAAGAAATGATTTGTTAAATACTGTAATTTGTAAAGCAACAGTATATGAGGGTCTGAGTTACAATTTTCACATAAAATCTTCTAAAAATATCTTTGAGAGAATATTCTAGTTTTGCTATATTCTTGTAGCAAATTATCCACGATAACAACGTATCCCTGTGTGCTGTAATAGCATAGCATCTCAAGTCCACTTTGGAGCTGTCATATGCCAAAACTGTGTGTGCATTTCTGACGGAATAATAGATGTTCCAGTTAGCTCTGTTGTAGGTGAGGTGAATGCTGTCATTTAGCAGCTCCAGGCATTTGCAAAGCCATTTATAGCTGGTCAGGCTTAGCTTTGAAAAGAGATCAAATGGTGATGTCCTAAGAAAAAATTCCTAGTTCTGCTCTAATCAGTTTTATCAAAGCAGCTCAGTAATTTATTCATAGAGGTTAGTAACTCAAAGCTGCTCTCTTAGCTTGAAGACTACATAGATTGTGCAAGACTACATAGCTCTTGCTTAGATGGATGGATTTGTGGTTAAGTAATGGTTGTTGGAAATTCTTTTATTCATCTATTTGCTTTTCTCAAGACCACAGGCTATTAAACCTTTGTATCTCCAGTTAATTCATTTTTTTGTGTGTATATATATATATAGCAAATATCTTCCCATATATAGATAGATATATATATAGATAGAGATACAGATAGATATCAATATGTATATATGTTTTTTTGGTTATTTTGAAAGTACGTTACTGAAATTCAATTATTATTGATAAGGGGTGTTGAAGGGTGCTTAAGTCATCTAGGATGTTATATATAATTAAATTATTATTATATAATGCTTAGCATTGAGGGTAAGCACCAAAATTTTACATAAAACTAGGCTGTTGTTTAAAATGCTGCAGGCTTTCTTCTGATTTTCAAAGGATAGATTCTGGGTTTATATCTTCAACTGTACCTTCATGTGGCACTCTTGTTGTGGTCTAGCACAGTACTTAAGCTGTTGGAATGACTACTTCTTAAATTAGAGTACCCAGTCAGTGTGGAAGTGTAGTCTGGAGAAGTTATGTGTCTTTAACCAAGTACTTCTTGAACTGTCATCTTCAGGTTGTAGATCTAAACCATTTGATTAGCGGAAGCAACCCTGAATTACCATTTCAGGCTGTATTTACATTCATGAGGGAAACAAGGAATGAATTTTCTTCCCTGATTCTTACATCAATTCTAATATAAACATTTTGCTATTGGTGGAGGCTGAGAATTGGGAAGACAATCCTATGGGTAGAGGATGGATTCTAGCAGGCACTGTGTCACAGTTTTAATAACTAATATGTTTAGTATGATGTACCTGTTGCTTTGCCATTACACTTCATCTCTCTCACTTTGATCTGGAAATGTTAATTTTCCCCCAAGCAGTTCAGCTGTAACTGGGTGTCTTTCTAGTAACTGTCAAGTTAAACTTCTTTTGGTGGAGTTTTAAACTAACATGTTCTACAGCTCCGAAATGGGGCGAGCTGAAGCAGGCCTAAGAGTCACTTCAGAGACGGCTCTGTGGTGTGAACTCCTGGGAAAGCCTTTATCTACAGGCTTCTCAAAGTCTGTTGTGTAATACCTAGTTGGTGAATATCCATGGTCACAGAAGGAGATACCCATTGTAATACTTGTATGATTTTTAGGTTTTTCCAAATGGCCATCTAATAAATGAAGAATATGATGTCCCTCCACGGCTTTCACCCCCTCTTCCCGCTGGCTCCATCATCCCTAGTATAAAGTAAGTTAACTTTATCTATAAAAGAAAAATGCTAATTAATATTAGATAATAGCACCAACTCTCTGGTGCTAAAAGAAAAAATGAGAAAAAGAAAGAAATTAACTAATACAATTTGATATGCTTTCCATTAATTTTAATGTGCCTTTTCCTTAAGGAAATGTAAATGGTATTGATTAAGTGGCAGCAGTCCTAATGTTAATTGAACACAGCATGTTTGTATAGGGAGAGAGGATAAATTGTGGCAGATTTTGCTCACAGGCATTTGGCAGTGAGAGCAGATACTCTCTGGTTTGGCTTCTATTACTACAGGAGAAGTGTGGTCAGAGCTATTTATTGCAGATGACAGATTCTAGGGAAAGTGCTAGGGCTAAAAAATATCTTCTGTCACTGTTCTACCCCTAATCTAGTCAGTCTTTCTGGGCTTTCAGTATGTGGAGCCTTATCCAGGGTTCACACTAGCGTCTCTTATTTGTTACGGCTGAAAAACAAGCCACCAAAACCATTTTATATAATTTTAAATATGATCAACCTTCCTGAGTTCCAGAATATGGGAAGATTTGTCATTTCAATTGCAGACTACTGTTAGTCTTCCAGTAAAATGACTGTTTATTTTTTAAATAAAGATGTTGCTGTCACAGCAAGTATCTTCAGATTCTGAATGACACAGGATTTTGTACGAGCAAGATATATTTAAAGTCAAAATCTTGGAACTCCTATAATGTGGTTTTTCAATTTTTTCTGTTTTTGTAAGGAAATTGGAGCATGTCACAACAATGCTATCCTACAACTTCTTTCCAATGTTCTGCTTGTGATTCTTGCTGTTAAATAATATAATTGGACGGTCAGTTCATATTAGTCGTGAACTTATTTCATTTTTGTGTTCAGTTAGCTTCAATATAGAAGACAAATATATTTCAGCACTTTATTAATATGCTGGGTTTTTTCTTCCTGAGTGCTACAATAAAAGTGCAGTCAAGCATTGACTTTTTTATTTAGAAGCCTGTTTTCAGGTGAAGCAATTGCTGAGGTGAGATTCTCCATGCCTTCTGCAAGTTCAGAAGAAAATTTTAGTATATTATCCAGACATACTTGTAATTAAATGTCAGAGTGTAACTTGATGGAGGTGGGGTCTCAGAGGAGTACCAGTTGGATACCTCATGTAATCAGTGCCCTTCTAGTCTACTTATTTCATAACACAGTGCAAATCTGAAGAGGGTAATATTCTTATTTTTGTATTTCATTTAATGGAAAAACATCCCCCTTCATGAGAATCCCATTTTTTTTTTTCTCAAATATTTCCAGATGTAGCCTACAACCAAAGTATAGTGTATTTACACAGAGCACACAGACTGTTGGAAAGGTCACACAATATTTTGACAATATGTACAGGCACAAAACCCATGTCAGGCCAATCCAAAGCTAGAATGTGTGACTTCAGCTTGGTCAAAAGAAATTCTTTTCATTAACTGAAGAACTCTGAATAGAAAACCGATAAATTCCAGGAAGAAGGAGAAACCTTCATTTGCAAAAACCAAGCTCCATTGATTTTTGAGGAAGAAATTAACTTTCATTTCTATTTTGGCTTTGTGCTTACACCTTTTAAAAATTACACAGGCAGTTTCAGATTTTGATTTTTAAGGTATAAAATTACCAATACATTATACTAAGAATAAGAAGTTCAAATTATCTAATTACTAAAATACCCCATGGAATGACTCTTAAAAGCAAAAATTGATCATTGTATTCTTTAAACTGATCATTCTTTCTTTAAACACTAATATGCTTGGTTTTATTTTATTTAAAATTAAGTTTTTGTCACCACTAGGAAATATGCCTATAATATAGGCATATTTATATTATATACACAATAATATTGTGTGACAGTACGTAGTTAGAAAAACTTGGGAGGAAGGAAAAAAAAAACTTTAAAAACAGCAATTTCCACCAACCACAACAACTGCTTTCAAAAAAAGTAGCTCAAATAGCTCAAATATCGTAATGTATTTGGAAATGTCAGAGAGAATATTTTTACAGTCTATTTTTCTTCCTGTTGAATTGACTACTTTAAACACTCATAAATGTTGAACTGTACTTGATTCAAAATACCCTGTTTTACTCCAATTAATCTGAGCAAGTTGCTCATTTTTTTTCATGCTCTGCAGTCTGTGCAGTGTGGTGGATTGAGAGCTGGTTTGTTTCATATAGCTCCAAGGCATTCTGTTCTTTCTAGTTGCTATAGTCAGTCAGTAATTCCAAACATTTGACTGAAGGATACACTGATCATGTATGAAATGTCTTATTCTAAATAACAAGGAGGCAAAATGACTCTTACTTGAAACGTCACAATTCTAAATTGTCCCTGCTTAAATTGTTTGTTCAGCCTTTTCTGAATATAATGTTACAAATGTGACTTTTTTCCTTAAAAAGTTACATTAATAGAAAAGCACTGGAGGTTTTTGGTTTTTTGTTTTGTTTTTTTTTTTTCCTGGAAACAGTGCTGATTTATTTTTGTTTTGCTAAAGTACTTATGATAAACTGCACTTCAATATTGAAATATTGGAGTCTTGCTAACTGAACATCTGATTTTTATTTTCCACTCAGCCCCTATGTTTTTGACTGGACATGTAAAAATAGTTATTTTTATTTGGAATTCTGTAATTATGTAAGACTTTTTGATCAAATTGTTGTTTTATTCTTGAAAAGAGATCTAAAACTCTTATGTCAAAGATACAGAATGATTCTTCCCCAAAATTTCAAAGTGTTCAAGTTAAGTAGTATTTGTTTCATTCTGGTGAGTAGCTCCCATTTTGCTACATCAGTGTTGTCTCAAAAGTACCATAAGTCACAGTGGTATTTTGCATAAGGGAGCATCCATTTTTGAGTATGTAATGAAGCATCCAATTCCAAGCACCTTTTGTAGTTTATAAATTTGTTAGGAATATTTAGTTGTCTTGAGTTGAGGTAGTTGAGGGAACAGTAGTATAACAAAAGGTGTTTCTTTTCTTGCTGTCTGTCCCATCTTGCTAACAAAATTTTGAAGGTGAAATCACAGTTGCATTAGGGCAAACTGTGTCTTGGAATTCCTGTGTCCCTTGAGATCAGCCTTTGGCATGGCACTTCAAGGTGACAGAAGGAGCAGTCCGATGTGCATGTTCCAGACATGTGAGAGGACACTGTGTGTCCTTACAGCTTGACAGGCCACTGAAAGGGTGAATGTCCTCTGCACCACTAAGTCCTGTTAAACACTTTTTGTTCCAAATTAACTTTTATTTAGTGCTTTTGATAAGTGCAAACTGGTGGAGTCATGCAAGTGCCTATTTAGTACTCTTAATTCTTTGCAATTCTCTGCTCTGCTGTGCTTGATTAAGGAAGCTGTTTGTCTCTTAGAAGGGCAGCTGCCCTTTGCTCGAGGCATTCTCAGTGACAAAAAGTCAGTAGCCTTCCAAGGTTGTTTGTCATGGTGCTTTTGTCTCTTTATATGTAGCAGACATATTGAGAATGTTTTGGCTAAAGAAGAGCATTTTTGATATTATCTGAGGTCATCTACCTAACAGCTAAAGATAAATCAATATTTTTCTCATCTCCTTAGGTGCCCTGGTCCTTCAGCAAATTCTCTGTCTGATAAATCAAGGGAACACCCAGATGATGATGATGAATACAAAATTCCTTCTTCACATCCTGTAATACTGTGTTCACAACCACCTCATGGTCATAATATAAAACCTCTTGCTCGGTAAGGTAATTTAGCAGCCTTGAAAAAGATCTTTTTACAAAAGCTCTGCTTTTTCCAAAATTAACTGGATTGTCTGTAATGATGGTTAAACTTGCCTGCCTTCTAAGCTTGGGTTACCCATGCTTCTGTTTCATTTGGCCACTGACACAGATATAAACCTATGAAGTTTACATCATTGTATCTCTCCTGTGTTAGAACTGGGTGTTTTTTGCCTTTGGACACCATTTCTGCATTTGGGGTCTTTTTTTTCCCCTTACATTGAGGTTTTCAAAACTGACCTGGAGATTCAACCCCTAAAACTCTTTCAGATATAATTTTAAGAATTTTGTGACTGAAATTCACAGTCAGCTTTGAAAGTCTTTGCCTTTCACATTTTATATAATTCAATTTAAAAGCAATGTGGTACTGAAAAGTATGTGAACTGTATGTGAAGCTGTATGGACATACTTTGATTCTCTTTTTGTCCAATGTATAGTGTGTCTTTTTAGCTTTTTCAGCCTGTTTGGCAGTATATTTTTTTTTTGTGCTTCTCAGGAAGAGAACTTTTTTTAAATACAGGTGGAATATGTCTCCTTAGCTTTAAATATGTTCTGAAACAATACTTCCAAACCTTCACTGTTCAGAATTACTAAAGGATTATGACAAGGAGACTTGGAGCAAGGGGCATGGCAACTGAAGGCTGTGACATTCCTGCTGAACTTTGCCCCTTAAAAAGTTATGAATGACTGGAGTCATAGAAAAAAAAAAGGGCAAATGTTTTACTGATCTTGTAGGTCACAAGTATGGTATTAAAATCAAGGATTGACCTAAAAAATTTAGACCTTCCTGTGATCAAAAAATATCAGTGACATATTGCCATTTTTAACTCTCTCTGTCAGAATGTGATGTTGAGGACCTGCCATCAATAAAGCTCAACATGTATCTCACCCCAAAATTAGCCAGAAATAATTTTTAGACCTTTTAAGTCAGAATTTAAAACAGGTAGATAAAATGGTCATAATACAGTCATTCTTTGCATGCAGGTGGAAAATCCTGTCTTAGAAATCCTGATCCAGGCTTCACTGCATAGACATGAATACTGTGCCATTGCCAAAGCTTAATGAACTTAAGTACTTAAATTTTTATCTACTGTATGTGACTTTAAAAAAAAAATAAAAAATCAATGATAAATAAAACTGTGTTGGCTGAGCAAAAAAATGGGAAGAGAGAAGAAAAACATTCCAAGGTCCTAATCCTTTTTACCTATGCCATTTTTATGGAATCGTGTTGTGCTTCTATATGGGAATGATGCAAATAGATTCAAACTGAAAGGTTGAGAAAATAAGCAGCTGGAGAAATAGAATCTTATAATTTTTATTTTACAGAAAAAAATAACTGAGTGCCTTCAGTTGGCTGGTATAGTACTTTACCAGACCCTTAGAATTACTAATAGAAGCTATAGATAGAAAGATGATTTTGAAGTTTTCTCTAGTTTTTACTGTGCGTATGGCGGGGCTTTTTACATGAATTCAGGACCTGATACAGATAAAATGCCTCAGTTTACTATTCAAGTTGCTCCATGATTAAAACCACCAACTCCTCTTATTATACATTCTGATAAAAAATTTAGCTCAAACCATTCTCCTAGGCATTAAGAAAAAGAGAAAAAAAAAAAAAAAAAAAAAAAAGTCTGGTGTTCCACATACTTAAAATGTCTTCTTTTAGATAATGTCACTACTTAGATGTGAAAGCTGAGATAAAGTTTTCAAGAAAGAATCTGGTTCCTGCTTGATGTCTTCTTTGAATGCATTTCATTAAGTAACTTGGGAGGGGTGTTTTGTTTCAATGAAACTTAACTTCTCATTATTATTCAGGAAAACTGTTATCAACTTTTTTTTTTTTTATGTTTTAAATTTTTAGTACATTTCAGTTGTTTCCCCCAGTGTCACTTTCTCTTACCTCTTTCCAAAATGTTAGTTCCTCACTTCTTGGATAGTACTTGAAGTTTTCAGTAAGCTAAAGAGCTTCAAAATTTTGTCAGAGTGTTTTGTGGTTTAGAATTATGTAATTGTTCCATCCTACTCCCAGATTTGTGTTGCCTTTTCTCTCTTTTACCTGTAGATATGACAGTGCTAAAAATATTTCAAGAATAATGCAAAAAAATGATTCACAGTCTTACTTTCTGGCAGATCATTTAATTGTCTGGTTTGTTACAGCAGAGCATCAGTTCAGGAATAAGAAATAAAAGGAAAGAATTTCAGCATTACTAATTAGACTATTATTAGAAGAATATAACCTTATTGGATTTGCTGTCTTTTCCTAATAAAACTTTTTCCAAAAGGGGAAAGGAGAAAAGGCTTGCTTGTTAGTACTCATTTGATGCCCTTTTTTCTGGAGTTTACTGTTAATATAAGCAGGTATTTCAGCATTTCTTGTAAACTGATTGCTTAGCTGGGCTCATCATGGACTGAATACTCCTGAAGTGGTGCTGTGTTAAGTTACCGTGCTGCCTGTGGCTAGTTACATTATTGAAAATGCAGAGTTGATTAAAACTAGAGCAGAAAATAATCTTAATTATTTAGTTTATATGGTGAGGAGTCAAAGGAAGTGTTGCATCCAGTGCATTTGAAAGATTGAACCAATCTAATGTCAGAGAAAGAAACAACACTTCCTCTAGCCCTTGTCTGGGGGAATTAATTTATAGCAAAAGATCTCTTACCATTAGGGGCTTTTGTTTATTTGTTTGTTTTTAAATCTATTACCCTTATTTGTAACTCTTGGGACCACAAATGCAATTCACTTCCTCTTTCCTGTTTATATATTTTAAATGATTCCAGACGCTTATTCATTCCTTCTTTCCATTTGACCAAAGCTGATAGGTTTATTAATACTGTTGGTAAAAACCCCAAACCTGAAATTTTAGATGTATATAACTCTAGCAGATATCCCAATGTCTAATAATAATGGTGCATGGTGGAATGGGATTTTTGTTTTTAAGCTGGAATTGCTTAGCATGGTGGCCTTTATCCAAGGAAAGTCTCTGGTTCTTTGTGAATATACAGGGTCCACAGTTCCTGTGACAGGAGCAGTTTCCTGGTTCTTCTGTATTTTTAAACAGTATATAATATTATGAAAAGGCTTGTTCAATATTTTTCCTTGTCATATTTGAACAAAGTCTTCATACAAAAAAAAACGTCCAGTATTTTCAACAAGATTGTAGGCACTCTTTACTGTTTGGTTGGATGCTTTTCATATTAATTTCATACCATTGTTAAGTTTTGAGGGCAAAATATGCTTCCATTTAAGAAAGAAAAATCAGTAAACTGTGATAGAAGTATCAGCAAGGCTCAGTTTTTGGATACAGAAATGAATAGGTTCCTGCAAAACTGCTTTGGCTAGTTCAATTTTGGGGTTTTCACTGGAGTTTTGTTAATGTTTGGCAAAGCTGAATTGAAATTTGTTATTAGTATGTATTGTGGTGTTCTGTTTGGATTTTTTTTTTTGTTGTTCTTACATTTTGTTGAATTGTTTTTCTGTGTACTTTGGTGTGGAAAATTACCAAAATCCACATTTCCCTTTCTTCATAATTCTGCTAGGGAAAATTCAGCATTTGGGAAGGTGAACTAAGATTGAGGCTGTGATATAAGTGTGATGTGTGAATGAAGTAATGACCTGGGCTCTGAAGTGAGGACTGTGTTTAATGTTAGTTCTTCCTCTAACATGTATTGCAGCCTGTGTTGTTTTAAGCCATGTCAGTACAAGAAAGCAGTATAATCCTTCAAAGCAGTTTTAATGAGGGTTAACCAGCATCTGCTCTCAATATCTAAAAATGTAAATTTAAAAATTGGTGCGGCTTATTGTCCCAGATTCATGTCCATATAGTGAACTGCCAGGTACTGCTGATCCAGGGAATTAATGCTTGGCTAAATGGTTGATTACTTCCTGCTTAATGTCTGTCTTCAGGGTGTGTGAGAATGGTCAATGTGCGAATGGAACACACGGTGCTACTTCTGAGATAAAGAAATCTAAACATCCCGAATCAGGTACGTTTCTCTTCTTTCATTGTTTGCCGAGAAGATTTACTCTGTGCTGCCCTAGGGGTGCAGCAGGAAAACATTCACTTCTTGTGGTTGTGTCATTCAGGAGATGTCTATGATGCACCTACTGTTCCGGTACCTTTGCCTCCTGCACGGCCTCCTGCCAGAGACAACCCCAAACACAGCTCTTTGCTCAACAGGACACCCTCCGATTATGATCTTCTGGTGCCCCCTTTAGGTTGCAGACTTTTTGCTGATTACATGGAATGGTTAACACTGCCCAGATGAACTAAATGCCACATTTACTGAAAAACAGCCAATGTTGAGTATGTTAGGACGACCAAACAGACTATGAGCTAAATATTGCAGCTGTCAGTCAATATTTCTGTCATTTGGAGTCTGTTTGTAGGGTCTCACTCGAGACGGACAAAAAGGTATACTGAATCTGTAGTCCAGCTATACAGAAAAGCAAAAACCACTTTTGCTAAAATGAATTTTAATTGTCCTTTACTAAGAAGCTTGAGCATTGCAATTTAATGCAGTAGTGGAGCGTTTTTCCTGCTGTAGCTTAACTAATTCCATTTATTTTATCAAATACAAAGAAGAATGACAAAAAGATGGTATTTGATCAAAACAAACCAAAGCACTAAATTAAATAATGAAGTTAATTTCTGAGATTTTTTCCCCCATCAGGGGGCAGTTCAAAACTCCCTGCTGTCTACAGTCACCAAAAGCTCTTTTTTCCAACCCTGGTTTCTGTTGTGTTCTCCAACACAAAAATTAGTGATCTCTGCATATATATTGGTGCTGTGCTTGGGGACCACTCACACTTTCATTGACAAACTCAGCTGCATGGTTGTGTCTGTGTATGTGTCAGCATCCAAATTTCTGGTTCCATAAAACGTTCTGAACATTTACCTTGTTGCTGCACTGTGCTCCCTCTGGTCCCTGAAGTGTTGCTGAGATGCTGGAGAAATGCAGGCAAAAGAACAAAAAAATTATGGTGCTTGGTAACTCCAGTCCTGCTTGCACCACCTTTCTATAAGAGGGGTGTTCTTTTGCCTAGCTCTAGAAAATTCAGTTTGTATCTGGAGTCAGAGCTTCTGAACAGCAGATAGAGATAGTACACAGTGTAAATGTAGCAGATTCAGTGCAGTCAGCATTGGTGTTTGTATATAAATACACCTGCTTAGCCACTGAAATACAGCTGTTATTCTACTGTGGTACTCGGTGAAGCTTTCATTGTAGTACACTCTTGGCAATTGAGTCACTAAAAGCAATCTCTCCTTCCATCCCAGAAAAGAAACTGAGCATGGCAAAAGGTCATTCAGAACATGTTTTAGAAGGGACTGTGGGTATTAACAGTCAGGTTTACAGTTTCATTACTGGAGTCACTGAACTGCTTAGATGAACCATAGGAGTAAAAGCCTCAGCAGCCAGAGAAAAATAAAGTTTATTCTTTATTCTGCAGTTCTTAATGAAGTCTTGCTCATCTAATAATTCATTTCTAAACTGCAGGTGAAGATGCATTTGATAACTCTCCCCCCTCACTCCCACCACCACCACCACCTGCTCGGCACAGCATGATTGAGCACACGAAACCTGCTGGCTCAGGGAGCCGACCCTCTTCAGGACATGAACTGTTCCTTCATTCTGGTAGGAATACAGAGGAAACAGCATATTTTATTTTATTTTCCTTTACTTCAGAAGCTTACCTGTTCAGTGATAAAGTTGTCACCAGGCCTCAGATCTCATTATATAAAATATTAAAAAATCAAATTTTTAAATGGTGGAGGTGAATCTACTCAGAAGATAGAAAGACTTCGCTTTTCATTATCACAGAGTAATAAAATGAGGTCAATATTTCTATACCAGGCTAGAAATTTTGTAAATCTTAGTTTTCTCTTGTAAACAGACTGATATTAGTCTGTATATTTTTTTCAATTCCATTGTTTTCAATAGTAAAATGTAATTCATGGGGGCTATTTTCAAGTTGAAACTTTGAAAGAAGTTATAAAATAAAAGAAAATTATGCTTTTACTGTCTTACAATTTCTTTTTTTACAAATTTACTGTTGCAAAATTTTGCTACAAAACTATATTGTTAACACAGTTGCTAGGTCCTGGGGTTCATAATCTTTTTTCTAAGTCAGGTTTTCACCTATCTTTCCCTGTAAATCACTGTGATACATTCAGGCTGGTATTTTGCTTATAAAAGGTATGAAAACTGTGCTTACAAATCATGATTTTTTTGTCTTCAAGTTGAAAAGAGTTTGATTTTCAGGTTAATGAAGTTGAATGTGTTTGCTGATTATGATACAAATTACAGCAGGATTTTTGTGTGTCATAGTGCACATCTGTGAAGTGGTTTTTTGTTTTTTGTATTTTTTCTTTGTGGAAGCTTTCAAAGGATGTTGGTGTCTTAAGTTTACATTTTCTGTGAATATTTTCAGGGATGATATGCCCTGAGGTGGGGTTAGATGTTGTCTACCCCCTGTCTGTTTTTCTTAGAAGCTCTGTGGAGAGGGATAAAATGAAATATTTTGGTGATAGTTTCACAGGAAGGCCAGAATGTGGATGACAAGCAGTCATGAGCAGCTGCATGATGGCCTGACACATTCTCTGGTGTTTGGGTGACCTGTGTGAGTGGAACTCTCTGTGGGGTGAAAGGGAGCTACTTTAGGTTGAAGTGAGGTGGCCGTTGATGGAATATTTTTATTATGTATGTTTTGCTATCAGTCAAGGCCTGACATTGAGTAATTTGCCAAGGCTTTGTGCATTTTATAATGCAAATTCAGCTCAGTGTGTTACTTTCTCATCTAAGTTGCTGAATGCATACAGGTGCACTTCAGACTTACTGCTTTACAGAATTTAAAGGTTGATGTTCATAAATACAGTGTAGTTTATCTTCTACATGTCAAAATAAGAACAATGCAATCTTCAGCAGTCTAACCTGAATGGGTGCCTCAGTTGTATAATCTGATGCAGAAACACCCACTGCACCATTTAGTTCTGATGGTAATGGACAGGAAAAATAGGAGCCCTCACAGACAAATGGACATAAGCTCCATCTGCCTATGCCCAGTTCCCAGAAATATGATGCAGAGTTTTAAATGTTTAAGTTTAACTTCCAAATAATCTGAGAAAGTCACTGATAGTGTTAAAAACATTTATTAGCTTTAAAATAAATATCTGGAATATGTATCTACAGCCACGTATTGTTCTTCGTATTTGCATAAGGAATACAGTGGTACAGCAGCAGTTCTCATTAATCTTAGAAGTGTATTGCATCTACTTAGGCATGCATGGTTGTGTGAATTGGTCTTTTTTTATTCATATGGTATTTCTAAAGCCATATTACTCACTTTGCATCTTGTCACATAATCTGTTGTAGAAGATTTATGATGAGGTTTTGATGATTGGTTTCCATACAAGTCTTGAGGGTGATTTCTCAGCTATCCATCAGAGCCTGTCAGATTAGAATAATAATCTCATCATCAACACCAGCAAAAAGTTGCACTCACATACAAAACAAACACTGCAAGCTCCAAGTCTAGAGCAGAAGCCAAATCCAGGATGATGTTGCACTTGCTCAGCAGCATCTTCAGTAGCCAAAGAGAAGAGGAGGGAACAATATACCAGAATTGTTTATTTCTCTCATTTTTTAAATTCTATCCCTGTAATATTTACCCATAGCTGGGACTGTATGAATAGGAAATGAGCCCTGCAGTCTTTGTGCACTGCAAAGCACAGAAGTGTAATCAAGCTCTAAGCAAACTGAATAGATGGGATGTTTCTAATTGTGCTGCTTTAGGTAATGCAACCTTTTCCATGCTTTGCCAGGCACAATCCCAGCAGTGTCAGGGTTGGGTGGTTGAAAAACACCTCATGGATGTAGAGACCACAGTCAGTGCAGGACAGACCACCTTTAAGCTGTGCTCCTGTCTTTGTTACTTCAAATCATACTTACATGTGTACTATGAATGCCGACGTTGGAGGTTTATGTCCAGGGACACCTGGATTCATGGTTCTTTTGCATGGTGGGAGGCTATTTTAATCCAACCTTCTATGCTTCAGCCCTCCCTCAAACAGTAATTCTGATTATTCTAAGACACTCTTTTTATTCTGTTATCACAGATCCCCATTTCGACCCAATAACTGGTCATGTTCCTTTGCCACCTGCTCGGAGAGCACCTGGAGAAAATGTCAAAACAAATAGGACATCTCAAGACTACGATCAACTTCCTCCATCTTCAGGTAAGGCACAAAACTGTTCTTGTAGAAAATTGAAATTGTATGAAGAAAATAACTTGAATCCATAAAGTCCAATGAGTTTTTTGTCATTCTGGGCAACAAATGGCAATGGTAATATTGCTTTACAAAAGTGTGAAATCATCAAAGGATAACAGAGATTTAAGTTCTGCAGTCAAGACAGAAATGGCTACTTGCTGTGTGTAGGTGTATATACTATTACGGCATCCATTTTACTAGCTGCCAAACTGAATGCTTATGTCAGTTATAGCATTCCTTATTTTTTGGGAAAGGAAGAGATTTTCCTGACACCTTTCAAGGTGTTCTTTCAAGGTCATAAGGGGTCAGAAGTACTGAAAAGAGCACAAGCATCTGATTTCAATCTTTGTTTCATTTCTCCTAAACAAAAAAATAGTAGCTTAACTCTCTAAAGTATTATTATTTCCTGTCTTTTTTGCTAATGTGTTTGTCTGAATTTCTAAGAATCTTTTAAGATGTTTCTTAATAAAACAACAAGAATCAAAACCACTTAAAATTTTGTCTTCCTTTTCAATGGAACAGGTACAGTAGAAACGATTCCTCTGCCAAAGAAATTTTGGTTATGGTTTTCAGGCAACAATAATAGTACATTTAAAGGAAATCTACTAAGTGAATAAAAATGATAACAGTATTACCTGTATTTCAAAGTACCTTCACCAGTTTTTAGACAAATTTTCCTTTCTTTAGATGTCCATGGTACATAGGGAAGGGGGAGGATTGGCCCAACCATGTTATTTTGCTGTATGAAGAAACCGCACAAAGAAAAAGCCAAGTGATGTTTTGTACTATTAATCATTCTCCAGATAGATAAAGTTCTGTGTAAAGACTTCTTATGCATAAAGGAAAGTATTCCTTTTTCCTCTAATCTTTCAGTTGTAATAATCACCATTGTTCAATCGCAGCATTCCCAAGTGGGAAAAAAGTATATATTTTTTTAGTAGTAATTACATTCTCCTTCTCAGAAATACAGAGTTTCATGCTGCTGGGGTATAGGGAAAAAAAGAGTATATTTTTCAAACTTAAATTATGGGAAATTTCTATAGCTGTCTTTGGGCTTACTTATTTTTTTAATTAATAGCATAATTGTGAATTAGTGTGATGCCTTTAGTAAATACTATCCCTTTTGGGAGAGCATCTTTACAAATATAGGTGTTTCTCTTTTTGTTTCCAGTTGTTAGGAGAAAAGAGTTTATAACACATGCTTTGTGTGGCATTGTGAGGGGTCTCTTTGTCCTAAAGTGCTATTTATTCAGGGTGTTTTGAGTTCTATTATAATGCAAATTATGACAGTGATGTAACTACTTTTAAGGCTGTGGAGTTTTCCTGCAATTCTTGTACTTCTTGGGTCGAACAATTTTTAATTTTCCTAAATTATTGCAAGATACTTGTTAGTGAAGAACTTGGAGCTTTCTGGTGCTACTTGATACTTTTTGATTTGTGTTTCCCACAGCCATCTTCTAAAACACTCACGTGTCAGCTTTTGCTATAAATATCATTCTAAATCAGCATGATATGCAGCAAGATATTCCATTTAATTTCAATTAGATGGTAACTATGTGATAGATCATGTCATTCTCTTAATTGGAAAGTTGTTTTTACAGTGGCAGTAATTCCAAAGGATGGAACTGATGAGCTGCAGGATGAACTGGTTCACCTTCATCTATGATTTAAAAAGACAGTGTAGGGAGCATAACTGTATTCAGAAGTTTGGTTTTGCATTTACTCTGAACTAATCAGCTCACTTAAGAAATTCTTCTTTTCAGTGCTTTTGTAAGGTGATTCTTTGAACTAGCTTAAAAAGAAATGGAGTTCACTGTAAAATCTAATTATAATTTAGCCACTGGGTTCCTAGAGAAGCATGGGCAGTGCTTTAACTTCTCTGCTTCACTTTCACTGTTTTTAAGATTGCTGTCATGATGTTTAACTGAATCCTTAACATCTACCAAGTAATTTATTCTAATTCAGGTATCCACTGTTGAACACTTCAGAAATAGTACTCAGCCATGCAACCCAGTCCCCCAAAGGCATGGTTTCTCAAACTTCTTATGTACAACTGTTTACAATTATTGCAAAAAGAGCAAGAAAAGGAGATGGAACTTGGGGGTGCTGTGGATGAGAGGCTGGACATGAGTTGGCAGTGTGTGCTCAGAGCCCAGAAAGCCAAACATGTCCTGGGCTGCATCAAAAGCAGTGTGGTCAGCAAGGGCAAAGGAGGGAATTTGGCACCACCTGGAGAAATGCATCCAGCATAAGAAAGACTTGGACCTGCTGGAGTGAGTCCAGAGAAGACCACCAAGGTGATTAGAGGGATGGGGCACCTCTCCTGTGAGGAAAGCCTGAGACAATTTGGATTGTTCAGCCTGGAGAAGGGAAGGCTTTGGGGTGACCTAATTGTGGCCTTCCAGTACATGAAGGCAGCCTCAACAAGGCAGGAGAGGGACTTTTTACAAGAGCAGTGACAGGACAAGGGAGAACTAAAAGAGATTAGATGAGGTATCAGGAGGAAGTTCTTCACTGTGAGGATAGTGAGGCCCTGGGACAGGTTGTCCAGAGGAGCTGTGGGTGCCTCATCCCTGGAAGTATTCAAGGCCAGATTGAATGGAGCTCTGAGTAATCTGGTCTAGTGGAAGGTGTCCCTGCCCATGGCAGGGGCATTGGAATTAAATTAACTTCAAGGTCCTTTCCAACCTAACCCATTCTATTATTCTATGATATTGCTAATAGTTAGAAAATTTTACCTAAGCGCAGCAAATAATAGGAGGGAAAGGAGGAAGAAAATTAAGCCTCTAATAGATGTCTCTCTATTTTGCTGAACTTAGCTATTCTGTAAGATATAGATTCAAATGATTGGTTAACTATATTTGCCTGCTGCCTATTCATTCACTCAGTTGGTCTTACGAAAATGCTTGCAAATTTGGATTCCTTTTACAAAAACATTATGGGTGTATTTCAGTTAACACTAGAGGAAATAATGTAATCCACAGTATCACAAAATACAAAGATTGTGCCTAACAGCTTGGAGGGTCCTCCCCATACCTTCTCCTTGCTCTCGGAGTTCCTCAGAGCACGTGTCCCCTGGCTGTGCTTTGTTTCTGCACCCCAGTTAGGTGAGGTGTAACTGCTTGCCACTGCTCCACAGAGGGCCTTGCACAGCTGGCCTTTGTCACCTGCTTCCCTGATGCTCCTCAGGCAGTCAGTGAAAAGCCAAGGAATCCAGGAGAAGCAGTGAGGGAAGAGAAGAAGGGCATTTCACAGCAGAGAGGAACAGACAGTTGGCATCGATACAAATAGCCTCTCCCACTGTGCCATAGAGCTCTCACCACTTTTCCCATGCTTTTTAAACACTTACTAAAGGAGCCTGTGTCTCCCTTTGTATTAACCCCTTACCTCAGGGTTCAGTCTAGTGCTGATTTACAGAAATGTGAGCGGTGGAGGAAGCTGCTTGTGGTAGAAACTGTTAATTGAATTTCACAGTTAGAAAATCTATTTGAATTTTTGGTTAGACATCTGTGGTGGCTGAAACATCAGAGGATGGAGGTAGGGAAGGAAAGTCCTGCTTAATACCTCTATCTTAGTATCCAGATGGACATGCAGCTTAGGCTTAGTATCTTTAAGCTCAGGATCCAATATGATACCCGGCTTTAGCTGAAATTTTACATGGATGTGAAGATACTGAAAGAGATGTCAGCGTTTAAAAAAATAATGGGAATTGAGAGAGAGGCTGAAGATCTCAGAGTATCTTTGCTATAGAGAGATGCCACTGCAGTGAGGAAAAAAATACTTATGCTTCAAATCTGCTGACAGAATTGAAAATGACCTTTCTAAATGATGTGATTGCTTAATAAAGTTTGTTTGAAAGCTTCAGCGAAGTGAAGGTTTTAAACAAGAAATAACTTCAGTTTTAAGCCTGCATTAGACTGAGTCAAGCAAAAATATCCTCATGTAACACAAGCACAGGGAAGGATCGGATTTATGAGTAAGGAATTTCTTCTGTACTTCAAGCCCAGGGGAAAATGTAGTTTGTAAATGAATTTTGTTTCGTACTGTATAGAAATGAAGCCCATAATGGAATGTACATATTAAAACATTGAATTTGAATATTTGTGAAAGAAAAATGTTCAGTTTTAAATTATGTGCCATTATTCTAAAGATAAAGAATATTATTGTTTTATAGTCTTGAGTTTCCTAAAATAAGTGAGAAATCTGAACTTACTTTATTCAGTTTTTAGTGATTACCTGAATTTCCTGAGCTACAGTTAATTTCTCAGAGAAGTGTTTCATGGGTCTTCCACACCTTCATAGCAGGTTTGGATCTGCTTCAGAATGTTTGGCATTTACGTCACTCTTTTTATCTTCAGACAGAAAAAAATCAAAACAAATATGAAGTAGCCCTTAGTACTTTGTAGGTCTTAGCCTCTTACTATAAATCTTTAATCAAATTTCTTTCATCCATTTGTCCCATGAATATCACCATCTTGCTAAAGGTACTATTAACTCTAAATTAAGAAGTGGAATTAAATTGTATAGCAACACACATCCAAATTGATGGAAAAACTGACTTGAAAGAAAAATACACCTGCATTAGACATGCTCTTGTTTGAACTGCTTTCATTTATGTGAAGTGTTTAATGCACTTGGTTGATATATAGTTTTCTCTATCCAGTGTTATAATAAGGTTTCAACAAGAATATTGGAAATATAACATTTCTTCTATGCCTAAAGAACTGTCTCTGAAATACTTAACACTGGAAAATGTCACTGCTATGAGTGTAAGTAAACAGGAAGTATCACAGCCAGAAATTCCATTAATTTATCTATCAAAGTCACTGTTGATAGGACTTGTTAAAACCCTTTTTGAGGGATTAAAGACTTTTTAATTTTTTAAATACTTTGCTCTTGAAAGTGCTTTTTGCACTGTGCCTACTTGTATTTAAGCTTCTTATTGTGGAATCAGTGAGGATAAAGGCATTTCCTTAAAGTACCAAGTTTACTTGGGCACAAAACTCTTGACTCTGAGAAGATTAGCAAGTTTGCATATTAGCTTTTTTTTCACCAGCAGATCATGATTCTTAGTCACCAGCATTAACTGTGAAGGTAACCTTTCCACAGAAGATGAGGAGCTGGGAGATGTTTCCAAAGGGGGACTGGAGAGGAAGGAGCATGTTCTGTTCTCACCATGGGAATAATTGGGCTAGAGGTCTTTCTGAGAAACCACTTATTTATGTACTTAGGTGTAGCTGCTTTGCATGAAATGAATAGCAATTGAATTAACAGCATCTGCAAGATGGACCAATAAGTTAAAGATTTTTCTCCTTCAGGCATATTAAGATTCCTTTTCTATGCAACTTATGGTCCCAAATAAAATTGTGATCAAACTTGTGCTTGGGTTTTGCTTATTTGTTTGTTTTTTTTGTAGGGGTATTTTTCTTGTTGGATTTTTTTTGTTTGTTTGTTTGTGGGTTTTTTGTTAGTTTGTTTTGTTGTTTTGGGTTAGTTTTTTATAACTCAGAAGTTCTCAAACTGTGGGCTGAGAGTGGAGAGCCTTTAAGAGTTTGACTGGCTATTTTCACTATCTTTGTTGTTCCAGCATACTTTATTTTACTTCCAACGTTAGATAATCCAGATTGTAAATTGCATGTTCCTATCATATTATTAAAATAGTGTATTGCTGCATTATTTCCATTTTGGATGCTCTTGAGGACTTCTGCTTGTGTCAGAATTTTAAAATTAACTATATTGGTTAACTAAAAAGTTTCTTCATATTCCTTTAGAATTTTGCTTTTCAAACAGCTTCATGGGATTTGAGCAACATTTGACACAGTCTTAAGCCAATTTATAATGATTTTTATCTCTTTTATTTGAAACAGATGGTTCACAAGCACCAGCCAGGCCCCCTAAACCACTTCCTCGGAGAACTGCACCAGAAATACATCACAGGAAAGCATACAGCTCTGACAGTTCCATGGAAAATGTGGATGCAAAAATTGCAAAACTTATGGGAGAGGGCTATTCCTTTGAAGAAGTCAAGAGGGCACTTGAAATTGCCCAGAATAATGTTGACGTGGCCCGTAGTATTTTAAGAGAGTTTGTTTGTTTTCCTCCACCAGTCTCCCCACGTCTCAATCTATAGCAGCATCAAGATTTTCTTGGAGCGTATGAATTCTACAGATACACGTGTGGATTGGGGAATGAGAGGAAGAACAGAGTGGAGTATTTTTCTTCCATCCTTAGAAGGATGTTTGTTTCCAGCCATTTATCAAAGGCTCCTGGCTGCTCTGATCAAGACTTATAAATATGCTGAGGCTTATGTATTTTTGCTAGCCATACTTTTTTAAATCAGGGTTGAACTTACAAAGTAATTTAAAAAAAGTTTACTTCCCTAGAACTTTTAATCTGTGAAATGCTTTTTCTTGTTTACAAGTTGGCAAGTTACAGTTTCCTAGTTTGTGCCTGTACTATGTCCTGTTCATATTCCCTTGTACTTGTGGTCAGTTCTGCTGTAGCATTCCCAACAGTTTCCATGCTGACCACTCCATCAACTAAATCATCACTTTCCAGAAATTCTGTGTTTCTTTTGGTCGTTTTTTCTTTTACAAGATGCTTTAATTGTTTTTTTGCATTTCAGCTCATCAAATGCAAAAAGTATGTGGCCTTCACTACTGATTTTTTTTTTTCTTCTGGGATTCCTTTGCTTTTGAAAGAGGAAGTATCTGAATGTAAAACACATTATTCTGTGAACTGCCTTCTTAAAGGTATTTTGACAGTAATTTTGGGCAGCTTTCTGTTTAACAAGAATTCCATGACCTGTAGTCTCAAGGTCTTTTATATACAGTTTCCACAAAAAAACATCCCAACCAACAAATAAAACACTTCATGCAGCAGTGATACTGAGTTCTCACATGTAAAATCTCCTTCAAATTTGAGTATTTGATTGCAGATGTTCAAAAAAAGCCAAATGCACATGATAATACTGTGTTTTGATTACACACTAATGGCACCAGTTCTTCATGACAAGACTAAAAGGAATCTTTTTCAATGATATTAAAGGTATTCAGGTAAATTCCAGTTCTAGATTCAGTAAAGTAGAATGCGGTTAATGTTTTATTTGAGTGATTATCCTGTGGTTCATTGTGGCTTGGATCAGTTTGTATTAACTTGGAAACTTTAAATCTTTGTTAATTTATTTTAAGCACTGTTAATTCTTAATGCTACTGTAGCAATATTTTTTGCAAAGTTCTTTAATAACCTCCTCCCTCCCCTGTATACTTTATAATCCTCAAAGATGTGTTTAACGCCCAAATTCATTCACTCACTTTCCAGCTGATTAGTTGGAAATACATTTTTACTTTACTTGGTTAGTGATACTCCAAACTTTGACATTTTATTTTTGAGCCCAAATTGGTGCAAGCCAATTGAAAAATCTTCCTGGTTTTAAAAAACGAGAAGACAGCTCTATTCTGAGTACTTTCAAAGTTGAGTCCAAATATTTTCAGAACAATTCTTAAGATTGCTGCTTTCGGTTTTTTGGTTTTTTTTAGGATACTTTGAAGTTTTTCTTCTAATACTATTGAAAAAATAAAACCATGTGGTAGTTAGAATATTTTTCTCATTTTGAGATGTGATTGAGTGTATGAAAATTTTCAGTGTGCCTGGCTGGGAGGTGAAGTATATATTCTTTATTCCCTTTCAGCTGTTAGTGTTCTCTTTCACTCTGAGCAAGTGCTAGAATTTGTACCACTTACAGCATCAGATCTCATCAGCCTGTGCATTTGTTGTAAAGATGTTTTTAAAGGCAGCACGTGGCTGAACTGCAGGATTTGAACTGAGAACGCCCATGGGAAATTACTGGGCTATCTCAAAGTCCTGTTGTTCAAACAAAAAACTTATTCTTAAAACTAAAATATTTTGTAGCATCACGAGGCATAGTATGGATATTGTTAATCTGCTTCAGTGATAAAAGATGATCAGGAGAATACAGGGTATAGGGAAGAGCTGCTGCTCCATTGGGATTTGAGCAAATGCTTCTGAGTTTATGTTCTGGGAAAAGACATTTGCATCTTACTGTAATTGTTCATTCCTTGAGTACAGCTTAGGAAATGTTTGGTGTAAGTTACATTCTGTGCTTTTGGCTTGAGTTAATCTTTTTCCTTTGTTCTGGGAGAAAGTTTTGTGTAGTAGTGAGCCCTCTTGCTCATTTGGTTTGTTTGCAACATCACTGTAGCATTTTAGCTAGCTACAAATTGAAAATGATTCAGGCTATTAAATTATACACTCTGGTTGTACTGGAATTACTGAAATGAGGTTCTAGCATAACTGCCACCATAGCAATGATGACAGTGAAAAAAGAGCACTTTACAAGGATGAACAAACAATCTGCAGATTGAGTTTTGAAATTTTGAATTGTAATGAAGAACTCATTTTCTTTTCTTTTATGCAGCAGCTTAGTATAAATTACACCCTTATATTTCAATTAGAGGCTGGAACTGCTGCCTGATAGATTAAGATTTTTAAAGTTTTCCTTCTTTCTGCTTGTGACCACCAGTGACACTTTTTTTTTATTATGTGATAAAAAACCAAACTTGATGAGCAATATTCTGAATGGTAACTTGAAAAGAGTTCCACTAATCTTTAAGTGAGCGTCCTAATGACTCTTCTAATCAGGGGAACATGCAGACTATTTCAAACCTGTTTTGGTTAGTAGTTTTAAAGTCAAACAGCAAAAGTGCTTTGCTGTGGTGTTGATGTTTACTCTGCAGGAATTAATAGGCTTAAAATAAATTAATCTGGCTGCAGTCTAGTTCTCTAAAGACCTACTTCTCTAAACATATTTTTAACCTTTGAAAGACTTAAGGGTTTGAGCCTGGCAGTGTGTTATGCACCTATATTACTTTAGGGAACACTGACTTGAATGAGAGTACTTGGGTGAACAAAGTTGGTTAAACTCAGAGACTTTTGCAGTCTTTAGACCATCGTTGTGTTATTTTTCTCGCCTTTTGGCTGAGTTACTGCATTTTGAGCAAATCAGCTGAATCAGAAGTTAAGCAGAGCAAGTGGACATCAGCAGCACAGATCATTTTTCAAAGGCTATGTGTAGGAAAAAAATAAATTGTGTTAAAGGAAATGAATATAATTAGCCATTTTAATGGCTTGTCTTGAACCCTAAAATGGCCACTGGTAAAATTTGTTAATGTCCAATATCTCAAGAGTGCATCTGGCACAGCTTTTTTATAATGTGAATTTAGGAAGTTTTGTACCAGGATCATTTCTTCTGTTGTATTTCTCTCATTTTCAGCTTGAAGCTTTACTTTGCACTGACAACTCTGACCTGAAAGCATTTAAATTTGTGTCTTAAATCTTGACAAATTTTGAAGCAAATGAACACCGTATTCAAAGCAAATTCAGGTGCTACCTGATGACCTGGAATTTAGGGCTTTTAGGAGTGACTTCTTGAAAAAAGGACTTCAGCAGTTTCCATTTTGAAGGATTTTCTTTCAAATAACTATTTTATCTGAAAATGCCTTTTATAAACTTGTTTCATGTGGCAAATTTAGTGATGTGTTCAATTAATTTATATTTTATTCAACATTCTTTTTAAATTTTGGTTATTATGTATGCTCAAGTTCTTTATCTGTTCATGTAAGGTATTTTATAAAATTAATGTTAAGAGAATGTTGGGTTGGTCCGTGATTTTTCAAGACTCTGTCTCTCTGTTGCTGAATATTATCACTTTTCATATGATGCTTTAACAACATAGCCTGTCCTGTGTAGGGGCCTTAAAAAACATTGTTCTGTAAGCCCCAAAAATGAGGCCTTGCTCTAAAATAAGGTGAATCATTGCATTGTGACATGTGTTTTATATCCCCATACATTACCTCATTTCTAAATTTCAGTAGTAATAGTTAATAAATTGGCAGTAATTTTGGAATGTGCATGTAATAGTTGTATGGCAGAAAGATGCTAACTATTAAATATTTAGAATCCAAAGTGGTGAACACATAGTCCGACTGTATATTAATTATCAGGGTTTTTTCCTCAAGAAAATTACAATAAGCTAGCACTGATATAAAGTTTAGAAAATCAAACCCCTCTTCTATGCATGGCAATACAACTATTGCTACTTAAACCCCAGCACTGTTCCCTGCAGTTGGATTAGACCTTCAGTGCTGAGATTTTCGTGGTATTTTCTTCATTGTGTTAAATCCTTGTCCACTGTGTATGTCACTAGTCACATTGCTAATTAGAGAATTTTCCTGTTTGGGATACTTGTCTTTAGTACTACAGGTGCCTATTTCTGTCATTTTTACTCTTCATATGTGAAAGTTAGGTGTTACATTATTGTGTTACAATCAAATTTTAGCAGCTGGGTGCTCTAGGAATGTTTCAGGAATTTTTGTTTGATAGACCCAGTCATTATTCTGTACAAGGTACCTGCCTCCATTTATCAGTTTCAGTAAGTTCCCATCAGGAAATTGCTACATTTAGATTTTTACACTGTGTGTTACTGTGACATCTGAACATTCCATTTGGCCTTAGATGATTTCATGTCTGGCAGTGGAAATTCTTATTCAGAATAAATGCTAATTCCCAAATCTTAATCTTAAATCACAAAATAAATCTTAAATTTGTGAAACTTAATTGCATAAACATCCTGAACATTGTAAATAACTTAGAAGACTCAGAATAATGTGAACCGTGACAAGATTCTTGCTTCGTAGACCTGCCAAAAGTAAAAGCCTAAACCCACTGAATAGTGATCTTCTCACTGTGAAGCTGCTTCCATCTGTCTGGATCTGTGGAGGAATCAGCCAACTACAACAGTACTGCTTGGAAAACATTTTTTAATTTTTTATTGCCTTAAGTGCCACAGTAGGCAGCAGGATGGGAGAGGAACAGATAACTAGGCAGAAGGAGATAATTATGTAATAACAATCCAAGCCCCTCTCTCCTGTTGCCATGTAAGATTTAGCTAGTGTGAATTGCCTGGAGATCTAGTGCACATGAAGGGGTGTTTGTTATGGTTTTTCCAGTCTTCATTTACTGTGTTCTTCTCCAGGGAAGTGTCCTTCTCTGAGGACAGTGTGTCTTATTTAGAAGTCACACTGTTTAGGAACAGGATGCCAGGATTTTAGCAGCAGAGGGAAGTGTGAAATAGCATTCTGCTCAAGTGTTTGTATGCCAGCAAAACAGCCAAAAGCTTTATGAGGATTTCAGTGGAAACACCTCTGTTTTCAAGTTAATCTCTTGGCTTTTGAAGGATGTGTGTATGTACCCTGAGGTGTACATGCTGGTCTGGTGGAGAGTGGAGGAGAGAGGATGCTGCTTGATGCCAGCCTGGGGAGTTCACACCTAGGCTGTGGCAATCATGTTACAAAATACCTGCTCCTTTTGGGTAGCTGAACCTGCCCAGTAGTCAAGCTACTACAGTCATCCACATTTTACAAGGCGAGTTTTTGTCCCTGTGTAGCTGGGGAGGTGCATATATCCACTCCAAAATAGAGAGCCTGGCTTCTGTGCATCGGTGTAGTGATCAGGACACTGAAAGTAATACCTGCTCCCTAGTTCTCATTAGACCACAATGCAGAAAGTGCCCTTGGAGAGCTCTTTTTAATTTGTAAATGGAGTGTCATTGAATTTCAAATTCTTTACAACCAAAAGTAAACTTACATCATTAGCCTTTCAGAAATACCTGAAGGTAGTGGCTGGTACTTTTCTGAAGCTATTAATTTGCTTGAACATGTGACTCAAGTGTTTCCTCTTGTTAAATTTTTGTTACAATTTATTGTGGTCCATATGAAATTCTTGGGCCTTAATTTAAAAGCTTTTATTCCCTTTTCACTATGGCTTTTGTCAGTAGTACCTTTATTACCTTGGCTAAATTTGGATTATCCTGCTCTCCTAAATCCCAGTTTGGGCCATGTTCAGCCTGACCTTTTTCCTACAACAGCCAGCGATGAGGATACATCACTGTGCATCCTCACCTACTCCCTCTGACTGTTTTTATCTCCTTCTCCCACCCCAAATCTCTCCAGTGGCATCAATCACCAGCACATCCTTCATTGCCTTAATGGCAGACACTTTACAGTTTCCCATCTCAGCTTTCAACCACATCTGTGTTTTTTTCTGAGGTCCCTCATAAAGTGTTCTGCTGGCCTTGTCTGTCTCACTGATT